AGTGAAATTGAACTGACTATCAACAGTGACCAAACAATTCCAAGGACAACTGCTTTGACCACAATATTGTTTGTAAACAACATGTCAAAACATCATCATGTTGGAAGACTGACTGACACTAATCTGTCACAGACTCCAAGCTTGTATTAATATGTAATGAATAAAAAAATTATCAGAAAATGTAATAAATTTCCTTATTTTTTTCAATGAATATTTATACGTAATTTTGTGTCAGCCTTGTAAATGACTTAATGTAGTGAAATGTATTTAATTAATTTTAAACAGTGGTTTTAATAAATATTTTCTAGCATAAAAGTCCCAATCTAGTATTTAAAAAAGAAAAAAATGTATAAATTTGTAGGTAACACCTTAATACAAAATTTTAATAGAATTAAAGTATTAGTGTCGTAATCGGCTCAGTCCGTACACACAAAAAGACATTTCTTCAAATATCGATAACCTAAATGCATTTTAGGGTGCAAAGACATTGCCATAAAAAAATTTAAAATGTTAACAGCAATAACTTCTTCACATGCAAGTTAAACTAAAGGTATAATTGTGGCTGTAATCAACTGATTCAAAGGTTCTAATTTACTGTTGTGTGAGTGACAGATAATTAATTGTTTACCTCCCACTATTCTGTGGTAACTTGCAATCTATTTGCTGTTAACTGTAAACATCAATGCAGATTAAATGGTGGTCAAAAGACAAATAAGAACGATCCACCACATGCTGTTTGTTTTCAATTGTAATTGACAGTTAAGTGTTTTGTATCTAAATTAGTAAACCCCTATATTAAACTATTAAGTTCTTGTCTATTTTAACACTGGCAGCCACAAAACGTAACAGCTTTGACAAGAGTTATTGTCTATAGTGTAATCCATATGTATGTCCAGTAGTCTTTTTTACACTCGTACACTAATAATGTCTAGTGAAACACTGATCATTATTAGTGTCTTATCACTGATTAAGATTTAGTACAAACAAGTCATGAATACCCTTTCCAAAAATACAGTAGAAGCAAAACAAATGAAACATTTTGAATAGTCTCAAACCCTAGACTAGTTTTATACCTTACTAATAAATAATAGATATACAGTACTAATCTTAATACCCCCGCCGCAGCAAACCTGCAGATTAAGCGAATTTCCAATTGCCTGATTGGATTTACACTAAAATGTCTCCTTAAAAATATCACATTTATTCCCTATTTAAATAACATTAGTTTAACGAGTACTTAGGTTTGCTACAACAGGGAGGGTAAAAAGGTGTTTTTTGTTGTAAAATGTTAATAGTTTAGTAAGAAATGAAAGTATTTTACAAATTCAATCAAAATATGTTCATAAACAAGCAAACTACAACAGTTTACTTATTATCCGTAAGAATAACATGGGAATTTTAAATTTACAGATTTTTGGAATTTTCTCCATAACCATTAGGCGCATAGTAACGCTTCAATATACTAAATTATTTGTTTTTTTAAGCTCTACAAAATGGTTTGGAAACAAATAGCTGAATTTTAAGTTTTTAGGGTCAAAAATGGGAAAACCCAATTTTTACCCCATAAAACCCCCCATAAGCCCCTGTTTCCATAGTCCGATCATGCTGGCTCGCGAACTCGTTCAAATAAACGTAGTGTAAACGAGTGTTTATTTACTTCACTCTCATTCATTTTTCACCTTGCACAAATATACACACTAACTGTGCACGAAGAAATTGTTAAACATGTTGTGAGAAACCGGGACTACTTTTCAATCTTATGCCACGACAGTGACAGGAATAATTACCATATTTCCAGGGAATACTTCTATGAAATGTCTAAGACGTTTACCTTTGATGGGTTGTGTGAGCTGGTTGCGGCTTAACACGTTCAGTGCGGAAAACCTTCAAACAGGCGCTCGATAATGGCGGCGAGGCCCGGGCGAAGCCCCGCAGCGCAACTGAATCGGTGAACGCGATTGGCATTCAAATATTTCAGTCTGACGAATAAAAAAAGAGCAGCGGTGATTGTGCTGTGTTAGCCCGAGAGTGGACGTAGTTCACTGAAACACCCAAAGGTAGCAGCACTGCCTGGATTCGTAGCCAGTGTCTATGTAAAGTGGCTTGAAAAGAGAAAATTGCCGGAACCGGGACAAAAGTATTGCTAGACGGGATTTTACGGGAAATTTTAGTACCAACCTACACCAGACTAAAGCTTATAATCTAAGCTACAGACTGATAACGATTAAAACGTTCCCCGGCAATGGCTGAGCTCACACTAAACTAATGTGGAGAGAGTGGCATGACGTCAGCTTTAGCTGATGTCCGCCACCAGTGCTAGTGTCGGACATCATCTATTGATGATGCCCGCACTCAACGTGTTAACAACTATTCACATTTGTTTTCAAAGTTTATCGTAATGGTGAATTATATGTCAAGTTTAGTGATCAACGTAATCTTGTGAAAAGACTCAGATGTACACAATCACTGTCTTGCGGGCACATTGACGTTTTGGAGCCACAAAACGAGCCCGATTCTCCCAATTGTCAGCCGATCCCGGAGGTTCAATAATATACAGTACATGAAGGCGTAAGTGGCGTAGCAGGTGCACAGACAAACCAAGGAAAAATCAGGTGAAGAACTCAAGCAAAAAGTACGAACAAACCTGAAAGACATTCGCCAAAGTTTCAATGGATGGTGAAAAATCCATCAGCAATGTCATATAATACAAAAATATACTAAGAAGGAGAAAGCTCGGTGGCGATAGGTCCCATGCATGACGTTCAAACATACTGCGAGGCCTTAAAAGGGAAAGAAGAAACACCGGACATATGCTGCAATGGTGGTAACGTCTAGCTACAGTACTACCTTTGCATGACCTACCTGAACCTTTATGCAGTCTGGTCATGGGCAACCACCCTGAGCATACACACGTTATGGACTGGGTGAGACATTATAATAGCTGCTATAATATGACATCATTTGGAGCAAAACAGGTTTTGGCTGAATTGTGGACTGTAGGTTGTTGGCATTTAAAACTTCAACCAATTGGAATGTTCCCGTAGTGAAGCACGGTTATTCCGCTAGTAAATATATATATCTTACTAATATTATAAATGTGAAAGTTTGTGTGTTTGTTTGTTTGAAGTTCAATCACGCATAAACCACTGGACGGATTAGGCTGAAATTTGGCATGATGATAGCTCACATTCTCGATTGACATATATGCATATTCTTATCTCAAAAATCCTTTCGAGCTCCGCCCGAGTGGCTCGGTAGTTCCCCATGTTAACCTTATGAGTATTCATATTTAAAGGGAATTAAAGAATTTAGTCAGCTGTTTCAAATTTAATCAAAATCGGATCATTTTTGTTCGAGTTATCGCTCTAACGGACACATATATAAATATATATATATATATGAATTTGAACGGATGGTGTTTTTGGTCTCTAGGGACCTCAAAACAAAAAAGTAAATCAGTCCCGGGTCCAGGTCTTACCATAAGTACTACAGTAATAGCTTATTCCCTATATGGGAAATTCGCTAAAAACAAGATTGTTAATGTCGGGTCTTTTTTATTTGTTTGATAAAGGATTATTTTGGAACCTAATTTTCATGAGGTTGATAACGATGATATTTGTTTTAATCCTTTTCAAAAACAAGTCTGTTATTTGTGTTGAGATTTGTAATTAATTGTAACTCATTTGTGTGTGCCTAAGTCTGGCAGTTCTAATGTACGACCAATATCAAAAAGGTGACTGATTGGATCAGATTACTTTATTACCCAGGGATTTGCCTGAATGTCAATAAATTGTAAACCAATGTATTAATTAGCTGTGATGTCGTGTATTACTGTGTGAGTATTGTTATTTGCAGATAGCACTTGAATTTTTTATAACTTTTCTAAGCAATATACAATACTAGTTGTTCTGCCCAAGCTTCGCAATGGGGCAACCATGGATAACTATTTGGGTCTCTAAATTTACTGTAAAATACAGTTACACACACCATGCAAATTATACAGGAAAATCTCAACAATAATACAATAAGAGATTCAATAATGAAAATATCTTTTGTATATGCATTGAACTGTTTGGTTAAGTCAAAACAATAACTTTTTCATCATACTGTCCGGAAAGCAGGCATTTTTAGTTCTCTTAATCCTCCGCAAAATCATTGTTTTTGGTAACTTCAGATAGAGAACAGAAAAAACATATGGTAATTTTTTTTTTTTTTTTGCTAACCTCGACATTTTATCTATGCATTTAAAAATGCTGCTATCGCTATCACATGATATTTAAAGTTATGTTTGTAAACAACAGAAATGTAAACATCGATGTTGACTTTGTATAACCTCAAATTATGTGGTAACAGCTGCTGATGCATCTTCAATATTTTTTTAATGTGATAAAATATAGCCCTCGAGGTTTAAGCCTTTACAAGAGGGTTTATCGAAAAACGGATATTTTTTGGGGATGTTTGACATCAAGACCATTCATTGAAGTATGCAGTTAAAAGTTGTGCGGCTTTGGCTTACCGTTTTCTCAAAAGTTTGTGATCCTTATTACCTTTATATATTTGTAGGTGAATACATTTTTTTAAAGAGCATTTAAAGATGCTAAGTTAAGGTATTTACAGAACCACAGCACGTTTATGACTAGTAACAATTTTACTTTAACATGTCTTCAATGTTATCTTAGGTTTCCATGTTCCATTCACATGTCTGGGATACAGACTAATCGCTCTTAATATTTTACCTGTTGAGATAGTCCATTGTTCTCACTTCCCTGTGTCTGTCTTCACTAGGTAGCTGAATTCCTGATTTACTTTTGTAACATAACATGGATGTTAATTCAAGCAAGAGCTTTTGGTTCAGTTCGTCAAAAACATTTTTGAATGGATTTGCAGTTGGCTGAACCAGAAAGCGATGGAACAAGTCTTCAGTCACTGTTAAGTGATTTGTAATGAAAATATCAAGGAGCACAGTATATAATTGACTAATAATTTAATTTTTGTTCCAGAATGATGAACGCAAGCACAGGACAGAAGTGTTTGTGATGGTCGTCACTGAAGAACTGCCCGAGTGGGAGGACTCCCGGAACATTGGTAAGGCAGTCAACAGATAGTGATAGTGTCTTAAATTTTATCTCCAACCTAATCTTTTGTTACTTATTTATTGATAAATTTTGTGAAGTCCATCTTCATGTATTCATAAATCGTCTAATGTTTTTTTTCCAACCATATACAAATACATTTTTGTTGTATGTTCATATCTTAAATGTGTAATATACCCCAGTTGTATGCCCAGTTGTTGGTTTTTGATACATCCTGCTAAAGATTGAAGTCTAATTGAGTATGACTGATGTTGTAGGCCGACAACGCAAGTGGTTCACTCTGGACGAAGCTCTGAAGCAACTCTCTCTCCACAAGCCTGTACAGCTGACGTACCTTGAGAGCCTCCGACCCAGAGTAACATAAACATCCGTCTCATCTCGTCACGCTCCACTATCCTGCCTCATTCTTTAGTTGCATCTTAAAATTCAAACCCTAATCGACCACAAACGATAATTTCTGGCTAGCCTCATCTCAATATTATTTAACATAACTTTACTTCTTACATTTCACTTTATTTTTACGGTGTTTCTTTAGGTAGTATGACAAAAAAAAGGCAACAATCTCATTAGCTCTTGTCTATTTGTTTCTTTAGGTGTATCCCTTCTGCTTTGTGTATCTGTTAGGTTCTCTTGATTCTGCCAATGCGACTCCCTGCAAGATCCTTCTACTTTCCTATTTTTAGACATAAATTGACTAATGTAATGAATCTTAGGGATCGCAAGGTACCCTAGAATGAATGGACTGTATCTCTTTACTGAATAAAATGTGTCTTTGTATTTTGTTAATCTTTATTTGATTTTTACCTTTAGTTTATTTTAATGATTTTACCATAATATTCTGTTCAACCATTATTTTTCCATTTGGCTTTACTAGCATAAATTATAATCTGAAAAAGTACCTAGTATGAATTAAAAGAAAATCATTATTTATATGGAAAACTTGTTTTACTAAAGAATAGTCAGCTGACAGTTAAGTTTGGTGTTTGTAAACTTAACAATTTGTTTTGTTTTTTCTATAACGAAGGAGTTTTTTTATTTTTTTTTAAGGAAAACTCAGACATAGTACCTATTTAATATTCATTCAGATCAACACAATTTTAAACTTAATAAATAAACTACATACTGTAATATCTAATTCAAATCAGTACCGGGGGACCAAGCCTTGCTCGGTTGTGGTTAATTGGGCTTGATAGTTAAAACAATATCGTTAACAAACGTTTTATAATTTACAAAAAACATTTTTATTACAAACTATAGACATATTTTTATCAACTATGTAATGTAACAGTATGCAATTTAAGAAAAATATACACTTTTATGGTCATGCTTAAGTTTAAGTTTTATAACAAATATAATTTGAATCGGTTATTTATTGAAACTACCAAAGATGAACATATGTAAAATCTTAACCAAAGCTAAATATTGGAACACATTTTTTAAAAAATTACATAGGCTAAAGCTCTATTAGTCTCCCTTACGTTAATTTTCCGTTATTACTTTTTGTACCAGTGTCAAAGGTATTTAGTAACTGTTTTTGTAAGGGAACAGCAAATTTTGATAATTTTTTTTCATGGTTTTGTTTTTGTTTATTTTGTATTTGGGTTCAGAGTTGGTAATGAACTGTGGTGCCTATAACATAAGGTGAGCCGCCAACATCATTTTATATCTGTACTTAATTAGTTTCTTTTATACAAGGCTATGGAGAATTCTAATATATCAATTTATTAAAAAAACAAGTGTTTTTTATTTCCCGGTATTGTTGAACAAAAAAATTTTGGAATAATTAGTTAAAAGTTTTGGCTAGCTGTTGTTGTATTGCTTTGTGATATGAACAGTACCAGGAAATCTAACTCAAAAAATGTTACAAGAGAGCATTGCCAGGTGAAATTAATTAACTGAGTAGCCGAAACAAATAAGTATTTGGTACCGTACAGTCAAATTGTTCAACAGCACTACCAAAAGTGTGTTGGCTGAAGGTATTTTTCTGTGTTAATTTTGCTACAAATGTTTAGTTTGTTTTTTTCTCTCACAAGACCTATGATTTATTAAACATTGTTTATTTCAAAGTTTAAAGAAATTAATTTTATATAAGCAAGTTTTGGATTTAAAATGCATATTGGCACAAAAATACCACTGTCACAGCTAACCTGCAGACTTAAGTTAATTTCCATTTACCTGATTGAATTTTCTCTCACTACATCTTTAAAAAACTATGTTTGCTCCTACAGGCCTGGGAGGGAAATAAAGTGTGTTTTTAGTGAAAAATAATAATTTAGTAAAAAATGAATAAATTTGCCAATTTTGATTAAATCTTATCCATAAGCAAGCAACCTACAATCGTTTACTACTTTGCATAAGAATAACATGGGAATTTAAAATTTTTTTTTAATCTCCACAAAGATAGACACATACCCTATGCACTCTAGAAGTGACCATCAAAAACGTATAAAAAAAGTTTCAAATTGCAATATAGTATTGTATTGAGTACGGCAATAAGTTTATTTCCAGTAGCTGTCAGTTTCCAAAGCACCCAGCGCAACCAGCTATGGAGTTCGGTAATTTTAGCGCGTTCCCAACCTTTTGGGAAGAGAAACTTTCCTCCGCTGTCCAATTCCTGAGAAATCGAAGATCACTCGGCCCTGATGGCATTCTTGTAGAAATCCTCAAGCTCGTTTGGTACAATCCAAAGCTACTTTTGGATATCTTATGTGTATGAGGAGATTAGAAAAAGGGAGGCCTGGTCTAACAGATACACATCCAGATAAATATTCACTTGGTGAGATGAATAGTATTTGGCAGTTCTGCTATAAAACTTAATTTAGAAGTGAAAAAAATGTACGAAGCACATAGTGTTGTCACCGTGGTAAAGTAAACTTGCCTAATTTGACTGACAGACAACACAACCAACTTGGTGTTGCTGAAGAAGCCTATTCAAAGCAGACTATGGCTGTCCAGTTAGTATAACCCAGAGCTTTTGGGTAAAAAATGGAGCACATGAAACGGTTTATAACACCCCATTTTTCAGGGTTCTCTACAGACAAAATTCGTTGGTTTAGGGCGGGGGGGGGGGGTCTCAAATCAAAGAAATAAAATTAGGTACCGTACCCAACTTAAATTACTTAACACAGGTTATCAGTAAGGCAACAGTTTTCTTCAATTCTCAATGCTAAAAACTTTGTTGCAACATATTAACTCGAGTTGAAGCAGAGCGTTTAGCATTCATTAGAAGTTATCAATTAAAACTGAGAGCAGGAATCTTTTTTGCGACATATGGCAAGCATAATCCAATCCGAAAACACCGAGCCTCTTTGATCTCGACCTCGAGTACCTCGACCCTTGTCGACATCACTCCCCACAACATTGTCAGAGTCAGAGAGAGAGACGGCACATGGAACTGTGTCGGTCAAGCAGTTCACCGAGGCCATATTTCAGAAGATTGGTATTTATTTGTCTAAAACGGAGAGTTTTTTTACAAATCAAAGAGAAACAACCTATTTAGTTAATAAATACGGTTTGAAGAACGCTAGGGATTGGGAGCCAAAAATTAATAAATTATTTTTTATTGGTATATAAATATTTTGCCGACTCAATAATAATTTTTATGAGGTTTATATTTTTTAATTTAAATAAGTACGTTGACACCTAATATGCCTCAATATCAGTAGGCTACAGAAATGGGATTTATTAGCAAGGGCTTCAAAACCAAAGCCCCACTAGAAAAACAAGCCATTCTGCAGGATCCATGACATCACACAAGGCCACACTAAAAGTCACACTAGTGGATAGATTTGTTGATATGTTCACTGCAATATCACATGTATTTTAGGTAAATAAGCTGGCTATTTGAGATTTTAGTACTACTATCACTATCCACCACTATGACGAAGTGTTGCGCTGCAGTGCTGCAGTATGGCCTGTTTTTCAGATTTCCTTTCCGACATAAAACACCGCCCACCACCGCTTGAGCGAACACCATTACCGCAACGATACGCTGCACAACGATATAACATCGTTGACGCTGCAGGGCCATCGATCTTGGAGGTGAAGTGGATACCGCACCAGTCTGATGTTCTGAATGTAGCCAGTTCGAAACCATTGAGATGTTCGAAACCCACCGGAGGCACTAACTTTTTGATTGATTTTTTTCATTATCAGCAAGTTTTAGTTTGGTTATGACAATGAATTTTATAATTTAAAAATTATAAAATTTAATTTGAGGTGTTTAAAATTTTATTTTTTTAAACAGATTTTTGGATTTGTAATCCTTTATTTGATTTTTCATTATTAGCTAGTTTGGTTAGGTTATGACAGTTAAATTAAATTAAAAGTACAAACATAGACTAACCTGTTTTATCTATGGTACAAACGATACGTTTTGACAGCGACAGTTAATAGAGATAACAATTTGCCGCGAACAGTTCAGCTATGCACGGTATGATGCGTTCGGCGGCACGGTGCGGTGGTAAGCGGTGTTTTTTCTGTCGGGAAAGTCTTGTTGTTTTTCTAGTGGGGCCTTGCTTCAACAAGTGTTATAACATCAAGCATAGACTAACCAACACAAGAGTAGAGCATGTTTTTATCTATGGCCAAAGCATAGGATAGACCAAAACCAACACCATAGACTAACCAAGTAGTTTTATCTTTGCAAACATGTTAGTCGATTGTTATAGCCTAAACCGAATGATTAAATGTTTCACTATAACAAATTAAGTCTAGTATCATGGTAAAATTCAAAAGCTAGCTAGCATCGATCAGGCTGCAGGCACAAAAAAGCTAAAAAACACATAATATTTTTTTAATTTTAACTGTTCCCCGGCGACGGCGAAACGAAAGTCGAACTCGAAACTCGAAACGAAACTGCGGTGCGGTGGGCTGGCGGCTGGCTGATGTCTAGGTAGGTACTACTAGGGCTAGGCTAGGCTGTAGCTGAATTTAGGTGTGTTGTTTGTTTATGGTTTTATTTCTGAAATAGGGTTAGAAATACATTACACTACCTAGTCAATTGCATATTTACACTTAATAGTGTTTTTTGTCAAACACACAAACGGTAAGTCAACTAACAACCTTGCAATCTGTAACTTAAACATGAATAATTAACTTATTGGTGTTATATTGAAGGCTCGATTCAAAAGCTTATAACGGAGCCTACATCCATGATTTAGATTAGACAACAAACTGATATGTATAGACCTTGTCACTTCTATCTAAAAATGCTAAAACGAATGTTAGACCCTAGGCTATAATAGGCTAACTAATGATGATAATGAGGCATATCAAATGAAACAATCGATTAATCGATATAGCCTATCAATCGATATTTTCATTTGAATGAGTGTAGGACCTAAAGTAAAGTGCAGCCATCGAGCCATCTAAGTTACTCAAACCTTAATACTCAAAATCAAAACAATTGAAACTGGTAAGTTACATTTTTACTTAAGAATTTACTTCTAGGCCTTACTAGGCCTATAAAATTTAGGTAGGCCTACTGTTCAGTCGCAAATGTATGCTAAATCTTTATTCTTTGGACCAGGGATGATATATTTGATTTGACTGGACACGGCCACCTCATGTGTAGTAAGTTTGGGTGTGTTGCTAGCCTAGTGGTTAGCGTCTCGGACTTCGGTGCGGGAGGGACGGGTGTTCAATCCCCGGCACATCCACAAAACTTTAATGGGTTTGGACCGCTTTCCCTTAAAAGTGTTTGACTTCATTACAAAAATGCCACTGGCGTATATACGAGCAAAAAAAAAAACTTAGTCAATGTTTTTCTATCAATTTTCGAAGTATTTTTACATCAATGTTAAGTAGTTTAGTGATGTTTTTTGTTACATCGATGTTTTTTGTTACATCGATGTTTTTGACCAAGTATTGAGATATCAATGTTCTCCTTTACTGGAGGGTTCAAAAAGCAGACGAAAAACTAAAAAAAATTTATGTTTTCCGATGTTATCGGTAAATCGATGGTTAACGTCGATGTTACCATCGATGGTGAACATTGATGTTCCATGCAATCACCAATGGCCTGCTCATGTGATGTAGTTTAGTACTGGAACAATGTTTCACTGCTTTAAGCCGCGTTTACACTGGAGATTGGAACGAAATATTTGGAACTTTTGTCGGTAGGCTAATAGCCTACTTGTTTCTAACAATTTGTTTGTACTTAACAAAGGTTTACAACAGATAGGTAGTGTGCTTTTCTTTTTGTTGGAATCAATTAAATAAACGTTTCAAGAACAAGAGGTCAGTCCTTCTCGAGATATCTACAGAAGATCTTTTACTGACCGTGGCGGCGTGTGTGATGCTATCTACATAGCAGAGACCGAAACTGCACTGTTTAAATGAAAAAGTATATCGGTCAGCTGGCTATACGGTACCCTTACCTACGGTCCACCTGTCGTAATTAGTTAACTTACTTCCCTATAAAGGAAATTCGCTGAAAGAAAAAATAATCTTCCTTTAAAAGTGAAGGGAAAAACATAGATAGGTAGGTAAGTTAACATCTAGACATAATCTAGACGTAATTCTGCATAACCTCACAACATTTTTTAAGGTAAAATCTTCTGTGTCCGTAATGTAACAATTTACCTAAATACCTTGTTGCCAACATAATTCTTGGTCGTTTGAATGGCGACCGGTTTTCAACATTCCTAATCCTATGGTGTCATTGTCAAACCCAAGACGTGTGGTTGTCGCTCCTAGGAGGTCTTTAAAACACATACTTAGGCCTAAACGAGATACAACTGACACAAACATAAAAAAATAATAAACTTTTAAACAATTTAAATAATATTGTTCATGGCCAAACTAATATATCTAGACAACAAGGCTGAGGGGTCAGGGTGTTTGTCTAGACTGACTCACTGTGTCCTTTTCCCTCCCCTCCTACCCCTCGCATTGTCAGCTACATTGTCTGTTGATAATTTATCTATATCAGTGAGGCTGCTTTGTAAATTATGTCTCACTCAAACAACGTTTTTTCGTGGAGAATATGTCGGGGGTATTTCTTGCAGGCCTTTAAAATAACAAACCCTCCATAGCATCTAAAACAATCTTTTTTAATGAAAATGTAGTAGGCCTACGGTACATTAATAGGCCTGGCTTTGTCAATATTTCAGACATCGTGGTTATTATTAATCAGATAATCAACAAATGTAAAATTAGGTTTTTGGATTAAGACCCAAATAAGATAGTATTATAATACATTGGCAACAAGGTATTCAACCTATAGAATAGTGTAGGCCTAATTATTAAGTGATCCACAAGACAACACCTTACTTAACCTAACTTATTTTTGTTCTAGATTTGAGGTGCCATAGTAAAATATGTCGTCTAACAAAGAGAGCGATGGCAAATCCAAGGGATTTGGATTTACTGGATTTCAAGTTAAAAGCCGTTCAGAAAGGTCAAATGCGCTTCCTCCACCACCAAATAGTGCCCTTAGCAAACAAGGCTATTCCACTATGACAGCCATCACTAACAATGCTTTGACAGCCTCCTGGGGCATACCAAAAAAGAGATCCAAAACGGAAGAAGAGTAAGTTTATTTGATTTAGGCCTATTTCCTTTAATCCTGAGGGGGACGTTGGGGGAAGTTTATATATTATATATGAATACAAATTAAGAAACCAGCTAATAGAAAAACAGTTTTAACAAGTTCTTGTAATCATCACATACCCTTGGTTGTTGTTAAGGTATTATGAGACTCTGTAGTCAAATGTTCAAAAGTCTGTATAGGTTATCAAGTTACTTAATAATGTTAATTTCATTTTTAACATCTGATTTAATAATTTTGTTTGATGACCTTGAGGATATCATTCAAGAAAGCTTGCAGCAGTTGTGGCTTTGAGATGATAATTATCAATCTTTTGGCAATGAATTGAGTACTAACATACTGACTTGTAGCCAAATATGGCTTAAGAATTTAAGCACTAATCTTAACTTCAACCCTTACTTCCAACTGATCTAGGCTACTGTTAGGGTTTCATGCTCATTTTGGCCGCACTGGCTAATGGTACATTTATGTCTACATAAGATAGTAAGCAGTGGTCGATTTTGGTTGGACTCATCCTTAGACTCAACAGAAATAAGGTTAACACTAATACCGAAACCCTACCCAGGCCCCCCGATAACTGAACCCCCCAGTCTGTGAGACCCCATTTGAAAATAATGGACTCCTCTTAGAAACACACAAACTGAAACCCTCGGCCTGTGAGACCCCGCTTTAAAATACACTAACGCTGGGCTTCTGAGATGACCATGCTATGAACAGACAACCTGTCAAGGTCACGGCACCCACGCAAAATGAACAAACAATATATCAACAGGTAGGGGGGGAAGATATTGGGGGAATGGAATCCCCCAAGTAAACAGTGTTGCTAACATGCGTTTGTGAAAATTCCTGTGGGCCTGACAGACCAGGGTTACGGTAAAAGTGTTGATTTGTAAAAAAATGTGACTTCATATTTTTACACGTCTCAGTGTACAAGCATGTTCTAAAGTATGTGCTGGTTGGGCCAGGTACTTTGATGAGGAGGACGAGACCCCCACCAGTACTCTAGAGTATATTCCAGCTCCTGGCAGTCCATCATACAAAGCTCCCCCAGCAGCAGCCGACTCAGATGAAGATGAAGATCCACTCGATGCTTTCATGGCTGGGATTGAAACTCAGGTAGGTAGCCTACAACCTACAACTACTCAAGTGAAACTGATTTTACTACATTACTTATATATGACACTGTAACTATAATGATAAAGGATGTGGATGTAAAACAACTTGCACAGCTGATGATAAAATAAAAACAATTATTTCCATACATTGGAATATATTAATAGTAAATTTACAATTAAGACTTGAACCATCTAACTTAGGCTATTACTTTCAGGTGAAAAAAGATTTGACTGCTAGCATCAAAAAAGGAGCAAGCATCCAAGCTGAACCTGAAGAAACTGACCCTACCAAAGGCATCAGGGGGGACATAGAGGAAGAAGACGTGGAGGAATCATACTACAGGTATAGCCTACATGCAAAGAGCATTTAGTTAACCCTTTGAGTGCCAACGTCCGGGGAACCGGACGTTTTTAGAACGAGCCAAAAGTGCCAACGTCCGGGTGACCGGACGTTTTCAGAACGAGCCAAAAGTGCCAACGTCCGGTTAGCCGGACGTTTGAAAAACGCGATATTAAAACGCGAAAAAGACGATTATATGCACATATTTTATATTCTTTTGAAAGAGAAAGACTTCCTCTTTGTAAATAATGCGTTGAATCGGCGATAATTGTAATCATTCACTTGTTATAGTACTACGTTTTCATATGTTGTAACACAGAGATCAAGATGGCTGTCACAGCTGGCGCGTAATTGTCGACATCGTATTTCACTGTCTGTAAACAAGTTTTTGGTTATGTGCGGTGTTTTTACGAGATGTTTTGTTATTGATTATTAGTAATGGATCGATCTAGATCTCCACTAAGTGACAATGCAATTGCAAGAACTCTAGATGACGACTTTTTAGATGATAGTTTTGTGAGTGAGGTTTCTGAAATTGAAAGTAGTTCTGGTGCCGAATCTGACAGTGACTCAATTTCTGATCTTGTGGATGATACCGATAGTGACCCCGATTACGACCCCTATCAAGGTAACAATCAACGTAGGATAGATAGGATATTACAGTCCTTTGGTAATAATAATTATTCAACAGATGAGGAGGAGGATAGAGTGGACAATCCTAGGCCTATGCCAGCACCAAACCCTGCACCAAGACGTCGGGGTAGACCTAGGTTAGATGCACCTAACCAAGAACAAAATCTTGAAAATAATGAGGATAGTGAGGATGGAACTGGTTGGACAGAAGTAAATGAAGAAAATGACCCTGGCGGCAATAATCCGTTTACTTTTCATGAATTGTCTGGCGTGAAACACTGCCCCCCTAGGAATTCATCTCCAATAGATTATTTCAAACTATTTTTTACTGTTGCTTTGTTTGATATGCTAGTAAAATATACAAACAAATTTGCTGATAATTTTATTACTGCAAATGCCCACCAACTCAAAGAACATAGCAGGGCCAAGTCCTGGAGACCGGTAACTCGAATCGAGATGCAGGCTTTTGTAGCAGTGCTACTAAATATGGGCCTAAATGTAAAACCTACAATATTTTGCTATTGGTCAAGGACTAGCAGTCAGTTTATGCCTTGGTTTCCAAGAATGTTCAATAGGAACAGATTTCAAGCAATCCTTCAGTTTTTCCACTTGGTTGACACAACAGAACTGCCTCGTCCGCGCGAACCTGGGTATAACCCGTGCGCTAGATTTCAACCAATAGTTGACCACATGAATAGGGTATCTAGGTTTCACTTTACTCCTAGTGAGAACCTTTCAGTTGATGAGAGCATGGTAAGCACCAAGGCCCACTCCCAGTTGTTACAGTATTTGCCCAAAAAGAGACATCGGTGGGGCGTTAAATTATGGTGCATTTGTGATTCTGTCACACACTACTGTATGTCCTTCTTTGTGTATCGTGGAGCTAAAGGACCTGACAAAAGGGAAATAACACAGAAGGGCCTTGGTTTCTATGTTGTTGAGAAACTACTGATGATGACAAACTTACTTGGCAAGGGGTACCACGTGTTTGTGGATAATTTTTTTACCACAATAAAACTAGCAAAGTTTTTGCTTACTCAGGCAACGAACCTCACAGGTACATTGCGAAAGAAAAGAAAAGGAATACCAGAAGTAATGAAAGAGAAATTTGAAGTAGGGCAGAAAAAGTATTTGAGGAAAGACAACCTTTTAATGGTAGGATATAGGCAAAAAAAATCACAGAAAAACCAAGTCCTATTACTAACAACCAATGGCAAAGCAGAGAGTGAGCGAAGGGCAAGGGTAAGGGGGACGTCAGTTCATGTCACAAATAAGCCTAAAGTAATTAGAAACTATAATGACTTCATGGGGGGAGTAGATGGCTGTGACCAAATGCTTTACCAATACTTAGATGACAGAAAAACTTTAAAATTTTGGAAGAAGGTCACGTTTAATATTTTTAGCCGTATGCTCCTCAACTCCTACCTGCTGTACAAACTTAACACTGATAAACCAATGAACAGGCTGGCCTACAGTATATTTATTGTAGAGGAACTGGCCAAAGAATGGTTAGTTATCCAAGAAATGAGACCCAACATAACTGACATAACTAACATAACTCCGACCAGAATCTCCCGTGGTGGTGGCGACGCAGACAGCCCATTAGTCGAAAAAATTCCAGAAAACCGGGAAAAAAACTGCTGTGTTTGCAGCAAAGCAAGTACAAGAGAAGGTGGAAGGAGAAAGAAATCCACATTTATGTGCAAAAGGTGCAAAAAAGGATTGCACCATAAGTGTGTCACTCAACATCATTGCTAAAATATGTTCGCCAACAGTTTCGCCTTATTGTAAATATTTTTTGTATGTTATTATTTTACTCAAAATGACTTTTTATTATTTTATCATTCAGATTTGGCACTAAAATAATTTATTGTATATAAGTTTAGGCCAAATTATTTGTAGAATAGGACTATGAGGCCATGATGACTTTAGTGTGTGATATCTGTGCTGCCGAGGAAAAATGTATGATATTACTAAAAACGTTGTTACCTCATTATTTGACTTTATTTTCTCATGAAACTTGGAATGTTTGTTGGCAGTTAAATATAAAACAGAGTGGTATGAGTTTTATTGAGTGAAACATTTTTTTCTCACATGATACACAGCATTGAATATGGAAGTTTTTTGAAAAAACTTTTCAAGGTATGTATTTTTCATCATTTTCACACTGCCTGCTGCATGAAATATACTTATAAATTGTGTTATATTGTAGAGTAGTTATTTCTCTGTAAATAAAAAAAAAAATTAATAAAATTGGTTGATAAATAAAAAAGTTATAGCGTTTATACTGAAGTATTGCTAAAAGCCACAAAAAGGGCCCGGCATTTTTGGGTAGGCCTAGTTATAACTCACATGGCACTTTAGTGTAGTACCTGACATAAAGTCTCCGGCACTCAAAGGGTTAAACTGCTCATACAATTTCTGAAGCTGTGGTCTACAGTTATGGGTATTATCTATATACAGGGTGGTCAACTCAAGGAGGCTACCATTGGAATATCGGAAACGGTAAGAATTAGAGAAAACTTTAAATGGGGGACATTACTTTAATTTTTGGTGGCAGTTAAAAATATGAATTTAGTTTTTCAAAATTCTTCTGTAATTTTCCAATATGGCAGCCAACTTTGAAATCTCTTATGGAACACCTTATATACCTATTTCATGACGTTTTCGTATGGAACATGCAATTTCAAAACGTTTTTATTCTTTTTGTTATTATTTTTTTTTAACGTTATTATTTGTGTAAAGCTACTTGTTTAGGAGTTACAGTGTGTTGTACGTTGTACCTTTGACTATTGATACAACAATAGTCAATGGTTATACCCAATGAAAAATGACTCGTAGTATGTTCTGCATCATGTAGCTCCCAAACGAGTAGGTAAGTTTAGAGAGAATACACAATAGGTAAATAAGTCTTAAATTGCATCTACATTATAAAAAGACCATAAAATACACAGTTTTCCAACTTTCAAGTTTGCTGCCATCTTGTAAAATGGCAGCCAAATTTCAAAAAAATAAATTCATATTTTAAACTGCCACAAAAAATAAAGAAATGTCCCCCATTTAAATTTTTCTCTAATTCTTACCGTTTCCGACATCCCAATGGTGGCCTCCTTGAGTCAATGTATAAAGAAATCCAAAATTTTGAGAAAAATGTAAGTTGCATTCCCATTTTAGACTGTAAGCTGCATACATAAGCGCAGACCTATCAACCGCATACTTGAATCAAAGGTCTCGATGAGAAACTCCCCTGAAAGGTATCAGATTTTTATAAACCTTCTCCTCAGGGCACGAACCTAAATTAAAGGTCTTTATTTAATCACATTTATAATACTTAATATGCGTCAGAAATTACAATTGTTTTTTATTTATAGTTGATTGTTTACTTTTCCTGAGTTAACCTTATGATTCAGTTACACATTTGGTTGCAAATTTAGTAAACATTATCAGTGTATTGTTTATCGTTGAAAATAAAGGTTCTCTATCTATTTCTTTCTCTTTTATATCTTCATCCGTGTACTATTTAGAAATTTGAAAATCCTTGCAGTACCAAGTATTTATGAAATTTTAAACCATGTAAAGAACAACCTAACATGGTACTCAACTGAGAAAACCCAACACAATTAAAACAGAAGAAATAAAAATTTACTGCTTTATCCACACCACTCTACCACTGCTCTAGAAAAAGGTATTTATTACATGGGAATGAAATGTTTCACCAGATTACCAAACAACATGAAAGAAGTGTCTCAGAAAGAATTTTCAAAGAATGTTAAAAGATCATTGATCAAAAAGGCCTACTACAAAGTTCAAGATTTCTTGTTTGATGCTGAAATATTATCTGGTGGTTCTAGTCATTTAGCATGAGTTTTATTATTTTATATCATCTAATTTCATATTTCTTATCACATTTAACTACTTTACGGGAATTATTAGTTTTTGTCAAAATCATAAATTATTGTTCATATACCATTCTCTGTTTTTTTTTGCCATTTCGTTAGATTTACAAAATGTTATACCTTGTTCATGTTATGTTTGAATATATGTTGTATTGTAGCAGTAAATTTTAAACTGTGTTCAACATCTTAGGAACTACTTTACGTTTCAGAATAATTAAGGACTCACAATAACAATTTTTAAGAAATCAAGATAAAGCACCTGTACTTGTGATTTTCACAAGTTATGCTATGTGCAAATAAATTATCATTATCAGTATCATCTTTCACAAAGGTTGTGTTACAGGTTTTTTGCCTCACTACTGTTTTAAAGAAATTCCCATGCAAGGATTTAGTCCAGAAAACAGCTGTTTGCCACCAGTTTTTTTTATTACTTTATTACTTTTAATTGAAATGGCGACCATACAAAGTATGTATTAATCAAATGGGGTTTCATTACGTACTAGTTACTGTACTCTAATGAGTTTTTACCGGACACCAACCAGCTGATTATATTTGGCATGAGTGGTTATAAACAAAAACATAATGATGGGGTGAAAATTGGTTTTTCTCATTTTTGAACCTCAAAACACAAAATTTCTAAATTTCTCTCTAGACGTTTTTAAAGAGCTTAAATAATTTAGTTAATCAAAGTGTTTTTGTACAGTTAAGTATTAGTAACGGAGAAAATTCCAAAAACTGTATATTTAAAATTTCTATGTTATTTTTATGGAGAATATTGTAAAATGTTGTAGTTTGCTTGTTTATGGATATATTTTGATCAAACTTGGCAAATTTATTTATCTTATACTAAGCTATTAATATTTACACTTTATTAGCTTCCTTGTAGCAGCAAACCGAGGTACTCGTTAAACCAAATGTTACTTAAATTTAATTGAAAATTAATTCAGACAAATGGAAATTCGCTTAGTTGGCAGGTTTGCTGCGGCGGGGGTATTGTTAGATATGAGTTGGTCAGATTCAGCATCAGAAACCAATGACTTTTAAGGTGAATCTTCAAGGTTAATACAGTACATGTTTACATCTTTAATTAATTATATACACTTATTTAAACTTCAACATGCCAGGTGTAGGGATGTGGCTGACTTTTGTTGTACTTTATGTATTGTATGTTGCACTGCTTTCCTTAGTATGATCCATGCACAGGTCTGAGACCCATGTGGAGGGGGAAATTAAGGTTAAAAGAGGTTATAAAAGGTTCCTTTTATGGTGTCTTACCATTTCTTTTGTGGTTTTCCAACTCTTCTCTTTCTACTTATTTCTCTCTCTCAAGCCATGTGTTACCATTCTTCAGCCACCCGTTTACATGGCCAAACCAGCTGAGTCATATACATGTATATATTTTTTCCCCAGTTAAATCTCGGGCAATATCTTTAAAAAAGGTAGCATTATTGGAATGACTGGGGTGCAAAATCTAACCTAAAATGTATTTTATGTTGGGTGTAAATTTAATATTTTGATTCTTGGAGATAATGTTCAAACTTTGAAAAATATTTAGTTGTTTAGATAGCATGATAAAAAATCTAGTTTTTCCTAAGGTATATGGAAGAGAACCCCAGAGCCGGCCTGCAAGATGATGAGTCGGATGTTGAGGTTGAGTATGACGAAGACGGAAACCCTATTGCTCCCAAGAAAAGTAAGGTGAGTGTAAGAGAATTAACTTAACTTCTATAAATTATAGGTTAATACATAGAAATAATTAGGCTACAGTAGGAACTAAGTAAAAAGATTCTCATGGGGATTATTGAATAAGACTTGTTATCAAGGTTGACTTCTTATCAAGGTTTGCAAAAATGTTTTAGATGGTAAAATAAATTCAAGGGGATTTTAAAACGACACTTTTTATTGAGATTCCACCGTAGTGTAACTCATTGTTGTGATTTTGTATTAATAGTAAATAGGTGATAAGTTAATATACTCGCTTGGCTATTGGCTTGGCGTGAGGGCCGGGACTGAGAATAAAACTAGAGTTACTAAATGAATTTACAATTTATTTAAAAGAGGAGAAGATAAACTCAACCAAACAAAATACAATGATAATATATAAGTCTAATACAGTTAAAAAAGGGGAAATGAACCAGCACAGTGAATAGTCAAATTAATAAGGTAAATTATACTTTATCCTAACGAATAAATTGGTACGGTATTTGGAGTTTAACAAAATTAAAAATGTAAAACAAAATAATAAAATATTAATTATCGTTCAAATTCAAGAAAGTAAACTTAATCGATTTTGGAAATCTAACTTCTAAAGCATTAAATTATTTATCCCTTACATTTTTAGTTTAAATAATTATAAAATTGACATACTTTATGGGTTTGATGCACTGGACACTTCACTAAACAATTTTTAATCTGCCTTTAAAGGCAACAGGCCATGGTAAAATAACACTTCACTTCGCGAATCACTCGCAACCGAAAACTTCGACTCCCGAACGCGGTGCCCGGACCGAAGACTTCTTTGAGACTGTCCTCTCTTGGTTTTTGGTGGAATGGACGTCCCCCTGTCCGCCTATAGAGACAGCCAATCAGAGGGTGTGATCGTTGGTTAATCTTCTCTGATTGGTTAAGACAGTCCACGTGGACTTGATGTGCAGATGTCAAAAAGTACATAGCTTGCAGATTGTCTTCTGTCTCTCTCCACGATTGATGCATCGGTAGCTGAACGTTACACCACCGTGGGACAGGAAATGTATAGACGAACGGGAAGACATTGATAGGATTTCTGAGATCCGTGGAAGTATATAATGTAGTTACAGTAGCCTATATATATATTTTTTTTAATTTTTTTTAGGAGTTGGGTAGGCTAGTAAAAAAATACCATTAATGTGCAAAATTACTAGGAAATTAAAACAAATTAGATGTAGCTTACATTACGAGGATTTAAACGTAATAATTGTTTTGTGCTGATGTAGAACTAATAAAATATTGATTATAATGATCAGGTGGCAACAAAGCAATAATAATAGTATAATCAAACCAATTACGGTAACTAAAATCTAAAATGAACTTTGTAGTCCCAAACACAGATTTTAAACTGGTTTCACTCTACAAATGTAATGCTAACATTTAATATGGAGAATTCCCAGTCGAGGCAAACATTAAATCAACTACAGTAGGCCTACTCACAAATTTATTATTTTTACGTTCATCTTTTTTACATAAATTTTTGTAAACAATTTTTAAATCAGAAATGCACTGCCCACTTCTAAAGGTTACCGTTTCTTCCAGATAATCGATCCACTACCACCAATCGACCACTCGCAGATCAAGTACGGTGAGTTTGAGCGCAACTTCTACGTTGTACACGAGGAGATCACAGCTATGACGGAGCAGCAGGTGGAAGACCTGCGGCAGACATTGGGACTCAAGGTGACGGGACCGTCTCCCCCTCATCCTGTCACCAGCTTCGCACACTTTGGGTGCGTACCAGTCATAAGGATGTAACATTGAGATCAAGGGTCTAGGTATTTAGGATTTTTATTAGGATTAGATCAGGCTTACTTGGATCGGGGAGTGGTCCAAACTGGCGCAAGTAACTCAAAACTTTACACCATACATAAAACATTAAAATATTTCACTGCCATTTTCAACTAAAATGTATGAGTTGAAGAGAGAATTTTCTTCAGGCCTAAAGGTGGCCTTGAAGTTAATATGCTAAAATTGTTTGTGTTAAGTGTAAAGATGTGTGTTTTTTATAGCCCAAAATTTACAATGTTTCAGCATTTTCAATCATGGTTTGTTCCTGAAAATGTTCCCTTGTGAACTTGTGAAATTTTCAGTGGGTTTCTAAGTTATTTGGTTCTTATTCTGTTGACAGGGCAGCTGTAAGATTTGGGAAGGTGTGATTTCAGCAAATTAAAAATAATAAAGATGTTTTCAACAGATTAACAATTAAATGTAGATGCAAACGGTTGCTTTGTTGGACAGGTTTGACGAGCAACTGATGAAGGCTATTCGCAAGTCAGAGTATACACAGCCGACGCCCATACAGGCACAGGCCATACCTGCGGCTCTTAGTGGACGTGATATCATTGGTCAGTAGATAAGTAAACGCATTCCATTTATCACTGGTTGTATTATCATGGTTAATGTAATAATGTACCACTTAAGCAGGGTGTATACCAAATGGGAAAACCGGGAACCAACTTTGAATTTAAAGGGACCCACAAAAACCTAGGGAAATCCAGGATTTTAGAAGCCATTCCAGGATTTTCAAGCCGAGCCTGGCCAAGAATGCGAGAGATTGAACACAAAGTTGCAAGACTAAATTCCCCATTTTCGGGACGGAATTACATTTGATTCGGGAATTTTTCGGGACGGGATTTGATCCGATCGTTGGCGATTTTGCCGCTTCGCGAGTTACGATGACGCCGCTATCGCGAGAGATGTTCACGATAGTTCCGCGAATGCAGAAGGCGAAGTCATTTCGATGATCATGCCATGACCGCAAGTTATACCGACGATCGCGCCGTGGCCGTGGAGTCATTCCGACGATCCCACCGAGACCACGAGTCATGCTGACAATCATGCCGTGACCATGAGTCATACCGACAGGAAAAAACCCCGTCCCGTCCCAAAAATTGGGAAGGAAATAAAATCCCGTCCCGTCCCGAACCAAAAATTCAATCCCGTCCATCCCTACCAATAACGCGTATTGTTAAATTAATGTTTATGTAAGTTGGCTATTATCAACAAAACACGCAGTCTACCACTGAGTTTTAACAACACATTCGATACTTCCCAACCTATTGTAAAATTTGAAACATTTTTTATGATATTATCGTGTAACATACTTCATTGTCATGTTGTATTGATAAGCATGTCGGCAACAACTTAACTTGGGGTAAATAATTACCCCTGTATGTAAGCGTAAAGTAGTTTTTTTGTTTTTTTTTTGTTTTATAAGAAAATACCTAATTAGCATGAAAGTGTCCTGAGGGACAATTTCAGAATGCATTCTCAAAAATTTGCCTGATATTTGTAGAAAATGAAGGCAATATATGCCCAAAATACACAAACAACTACTTCTGGCAATATTTTGAGATAATTAAATGTAGAACACCTCCTTGAAAATAATGCTTTTCATATGCAAGTCTTTAAAAAACTTCATCTGCTAATCACATGAATCCATGCAGGACTATTTCTGCCTGAACTGCCAAATCTGGCCAAGATTACGAAAATGTTGATCTTAATTTATAGATGTTGATAGTTCTGAGACAAACTGATAAGTTAAATTGATGATATAGTTGTATTATATCTATAAACATTATTTTATTACATTGCTTTATTAAAAGCCATGACACGTGATCGCTCTGCTCTACTGGCTTTCACTGATATGAAAGCAATCCTAGTACATAAATAAAATTTCATAGATTTATCTAACTTAATAGATTTTTGTAAAAACTTTTCCCATGTAAAATTTTTACATGGGACAAACTATTCATTCATATTGAGTTAAATAGCTCTTTTACTGTTCAGGCATTGCTAAAACTGGTAGTGGCAAGACGGCAGCCTTTATCTGGCCAATGTTGATACACATAATGGACCAGAAACAGCTTCAACCCGGGGATGGACCTATCGGACTGATACTTGCTCCAACCAGGGAACTTTCACAGCAGGTAGGCCTACAATAATAGACTGTAGAAATGGTCAAATTGTCAAATTTTATTTAAATAATTAAGTTTTATCAAGAGAAGTTAAAGTCAATATGTCACACTATTCTTTGTTTTTACATAGAGTAATATGTAAAAAACCCCTATTATAGCACCTTAAAAACTACCTAATTTTCTTCACAAATACATAGTGTACACAATACATCACTTAATTTGAAACTATTTTTCAACATTAAATTATGGAATGAAACCACTGTGAGTATAGTGTTTTGAAAAATGGTGAAAAACCATAGTGAAAACCCATGATCAGATTTTCAAGAATTTTTTTTAGATTAAGAACAAATATTTATCTTATGTTGGACTGACAAAAATGGGTTACTAAAGAGTTAAAGATTGGTGTCTCCAGCAAAAGTCAAGGGTATTATGAGACAATTCTTTATACCCTTCTGGAACACAGTAATTTTTCTGAAATCAAACTGAGTCGATACTACTTGTAATTGTTGCCATGACAGATCTACAGCGAGGCACGCAGGTTTGGCAAGGTGTACAACATGGCGGTAGTGTGTGCGTACGGTGGAGGCTCCAAGTGGGAGCAGAGCAAGGCGCTGGAAGGGGGAGCAGAGATCGTGGTGGCGACGCCCGGCCGCATCATAGACCTGGTCAAGATGAAGGCCACTAACCTAGAGAGAGTCACTATGCTAGTGCTAGACGAAGCGGACAGAATGTTCGACATGGGCTTTGGTAGGTACAGAATCGCAGCAGAGTTTATAGCAATTAATTGCAAGTAGACAATTTTAATATGTATTATTTCTTCGCAAATTTAGTCCCTGTTGTCTCATAGGGTAGTTTACTCCAAAATCTGTAGTGAAAACTGTAGCTTTTTTAGGTTACATTTTAATGGAAAGCCATGTGGCTAGTTAGGAATTTTTTGAAAAAGGTTAGAGTTCAGTCACCTTAACCGAGAAAATTTGGGTCCATAGACCATTTTGTTAATAGATATAGGGGGCCGACATGTTAATAATAATAATAATAATAATAATAATAATATATCTTTATTGTCGTTTGGTAATATAAACATTACAATAGACAAGGTCAACATGTTTTGTTACATATGTTATATAAAATATTAAATATTCTACAGAAAATGTTAAAATAAAGTTAAAAGAATCTTAAAAGGATAAAGCATCAGTAATAATAAAAACTTTGAAATTAACAGGGAAAATACCATAACACGAACAAAGAATCATCAAGACTGCTTGGCCTCACATTTAAGCATTGAAAAATCTACATTCTGCAAAAACTCCTCAACTGAATAAAAAGCACGACTTGTAAGACAATCTGATAATTTTGACCTATACAAATGAATACTTTCCTGATTTCTAAAATATATTGGAAGTTTATTAAATAGTTTTATTTGCAAATATTTATAACTTTTGATAAATTTTGATAGCCTGGCTTGAGGAATATATAAATCTTTTGATTGTCTGGTGATGTTAAAAGCACTTGTGTACCTGATCGAAACCACAACTTTGCAAACCTAATATGCTATCTAAGTTGACAATTCTGGGCTCTAGGGATTGTGGTCAATAAATATATTCAATTGAGTTTGCTAGACAGATAGATTGACTCTGTGTTGTGTGTAGAGCCGCAAGTGAGGTCAATATGTTGCCACGTGCGACCCGACCGCCAGACTATGCTGTTTAGTGCCACGTTCAAGAAGAAGGTGGAGAGACTTGCGCGTGACGTGTTGACAGATCCGGTGCGCATTGTACAGGGTGATGTGGGGGAGGCCAACACAGACGTTACACAGGTAAGTGCCACAATAGTTAAAACAGTATTAATAACATCCCATTTTCCCTAATTTTCCTAAATGGTCTTTGATATGATTATTTGATTGTTAGTTATTTGAAGAGGATTTTGGCCCTTCCTGGAAGTTGTAAAAGGAAAAAATATCTTTTTAGTATCTGGCACTTGTTTATACATTTCTACTCTAGTCTAAATAAACATACAGAATGATTATAACAGTTTACTAGATAAGGTTTTTTAAAGAAAATGTTATGCTACGTTGAAACAAGATTTATCTGTTACTGTTAGTTGTTTTACTTATAATTTAGTTGAAATAATTTATTCTCAAAATAAAAATTGTCAGTTATTAAACTGCATTATTCGAAATAGTGACAGCGTCGGTTTTTAAAATGCCTAGAAACCATCTAGAATTAAATCAAGTAATTCATCAGAAACAATAAATGCTCTAGAACCAAGACTACATAAAAATAGGTACTTAGCAGTCACAAGGTCACAGCACTTCTGCAAAGAATGGGAAAGTGGCGTCGTAGCTCTACGAACCAGACTGTATAAAGATTCTGGTGAAATAACCGCTTCCTGTTCACTACATCTACAAGTATTAGTGAATATATCGCATCACCTGGGAAGGGTTAACTTTACACTATTTGGATAAGCAATATTATTTATTTTGACTTCCTATTGGTTATCAATTTTGTTGTTTTCAGGTGGTGACCGTGCTGTCTCAGAATGCTAAGCTCAATTGGCTAACCAACCACATTGTGTCGTTCCTGTCCGCTGGTAGCTTGCTCATTTTTGTCACTAAAAAGGTGAGGAAAATTAGAACTTTCATGAAACTATTAATTCCATTTAAATGTCATTTGTTATCAGCAGGCTTGTTTAAACATGTAGCCTTTAAAATAGCGATGCATTTTTATTCTAAAATTTTGCGCCATATTATTTTAGTTCCTTAAGAACAGAGTTAACATGTTTTGCTCCACCTGATACTAGTATAAACATGATTTTGGTGATAGGTCTTACCAAACAGCTTTTACAGTTGTTTTACAGTCACATGTTTGTTTACAGCTGGATGCTGAGCAGTTAGCCAGTACACTGACTCTGAAGGAGTTTGAGGTTTTGTTGCTCCATGGAGACATGGGCCAGCAGGAGCGTAACAAAGTCATCACCATGTTTAAGAAGCAAGAGGTCAACATACTGGTTGCTACAGATGTTGCTGGTCAGTGCACAAAAGTACAACATTTACACATCGAGGGCCAAAAACAAGATTTTCCTTTACCCTTGAGATTCTGTTTAAAGCTTAAAAGGCTATAGCATGCAAAGTGCTTTCAACATATACATGTGAACACTATTTTTCTCCCCGCACTATAAAATAAACATTGCATAAAATTTTTTAAATCGATTAGATTTTAGTATGCTATAGATTTGATCTCATTCATTGTTCAGTTCGAGTTTCTTTTGCAAGTAGGCAAAAGGCAAATGATTCTCAACCCACAATGTTTAAAGTTTAAAAGTAAGGTTTAAAAAAACTATTTATATCCACTAGATATAAAAGTAATATTTTTTAGATTAAAAGATTGATTAAACATGAAGAAAAGTATCATTATGCAGGGATTAAGCCTTTAACCCCCCCTCCCAAATTAAGAGTAATCCGGATAGGAACTTGAAATTTGTCATTTGTCATTTTATAGAAAAATTTTGCTGACCTAAATAAAAAATTGTAGGTTAAGAAACCTTTTGTTTTGACATTATTTTTGTCAATGATGAAACCAGAAGAATGAATAAAGAAAGATGTTCAGGTTTAACCATAAACAAACATGATAATAGAGTTTATTTATCAGAACTTCTAAGCCAATACTTTCAGCCATAACCTCGTATGTGAACATTATTTGTTGTTGTCATGAATGTGTTTCTATTTACTGTGTTGCAGCTCGGGGATTGGATATTCCTCATATCAGGACTGTTGTCAACTATGACGTAGCCAGGGACATTGACACCCATACTCATCGGATTGGTAGAACAGGTAAATGTCTTACTCCTACTTCATACTCTTGCATTTTAGTAGAGTGTAAGTGTAAATGAGAATAGTAAATTGTCTTTTGTAAATTCACACTTAGGCGGCTCTGTTGGTTAAATCATAGGAGAAGCTGCTATTAATCCGCTGTCCAGTTGCCATTATGCAGTGGGCACAGAAGGAGTGCTTATTTTGTGATTAAATTATAGCAATTAACAATTAACTATAAGTAAATGCATTATGATCAATTGGGAGAACGTTATCTGTGAAAAGAGGACCAAGGACCAGTGCATTATAGAACCTGAATAACACACCAATACAGTGTTGAATATTGCAACCCAACTCATCTAGTCTGGATTAGTGATGGACCATCATATGTTTTTATAATTTACATATGCACTTGTTTACTAAAAATAATTCAGTGTTGTGTTGTGTTTGTAAGAAAATAAAAGAGTTTACAACAATTTAGTCTTTCATTAACTTTAATTTCACCAACATACAGGGTATAGGGTAGGATGAAATTTGTTTCAGCAAAAATGCTAAAAACTCTCAGACAACTTTAGCAAAAATATTATTCTTTAAGCAATTTTTTTTATTACCAGTAATATTACATGTTTGACCATTGCATCTTCAATTTTATTTGTAGCAAATTTGTTATCGCCTGCAAAAACAATGTAGCATTTTTAAGTTGTGCAAAATGCTAAAAATGCTCCCATAGTGGGAAAAGGACCCATACCCACAGGTGACTTAGAATGCTATACTGATGGTTCTAAGATCAAAAATGGGGGCACTGGAGCAGGTGTGCATTGGATGAATGGAGGCACTGGCATTTGTCTTCCAATGGGGGTGTACCCAACTGTCTTTCAAGCGGAAGTCACTGCCATTCTAGTTTGTGCTCAAGAACATCTTAACAAAGATATCAGAGACAAAACAATCAATATCTATACTGATAGTCAAGCGACCTTAAAAGCATTAAACTCTTACGAATTCAACTCCAGGCTCGTGTGGGATTGTCTTGCTTCTGTGTCTGAGTTGGGTAGGAGAAATGACCTTACGCTTTGCTGGGTGCCAGGACACTCAGGCATTAAAGGAAATGAAGCTGCAGACAGATTGGCAAATACTGTCTCTGCGACATCATTGTTAGGCCCACAACCCTTCTGTGGCATCTCACGAAACAGTGTATGTTCTGCGAATGCGTCATGGGCCAAGGAAAAGCATCGCAAACGCTGGGTCGATGTTCCCCTTCTTAGGGTCAGCAAGCTTACTCTGTTTAGGCCTTCCAAAAAGGTTGCCTGTGACCTCTTGAGACTAGACAGACGAAGAATTAAATTAATTGTTGAACTGATAACTGGTCATGGAAGATTCAGGAAACATCTACAACGGATGGGCTTATATGATGGTGAACCGATCTGTAGGTACTGTGATAGGTCAGAAGAGACAGCTGATCACTTACTCTTTGATTGTAACGAGCTCTCTGACGCTAGATCGATAACTCTTGGAAATATGGCTAGAGGTAGATATCTTCCTGAGGATGAACTAATTGGGAAGCTACAGGCATTCATTGGGCGCCTCAACTTGTAGGTTGACAAGAAAGCAATTAAGTATCTGGGGTGCGCAATAATTCGATTTCGGATGAAGTGCTTTAAGGTCTCGACCTGCCCCTGTTAGATAAGATAAGATAAGATGCTAAAAATGCTACCGTAGCTTAAACCCTGCATCAATACCAATCTCCCTCTGTTACCTAAGAACCATGGCCACTTCCTTCTCTTCGCACAACAACACTTTCACCATTTGTATAAGTAATACAAAGCTCGTACTTATATTTTTATTTGTTTGTGCTGTTGATTGTCTAGTGCAACTGCTCCAACACCAAAGTACAGTTAGTTAGTTTAATTTAGTCACAGTTCAATTTACCAAAGGCCAGAGCTATATCTGTAGGCAGGATGTGCTTAACAGAAATCTGTTTGCTAATTTGATGTGTTATCAATTACACTACATTGTTGACTAATGTGATTGCGTAACAGGACGAGCGGGAGAGAAGGGAACGGCTCACACTCTGGTGACAGAAAAAGACAAAGAGTTTGCAGGTCACCTGGTCCGCAACCTGGAGGGAGCTAACCAGTCGGTACCCAAGGCACTGCTGGATCTAGCCAATCAGGTAGAGCTTAACAGTATGTTCACAAGTTTATGAATGAAATAAAAAATGTTCTTACTATAAATGTTTATTGAGCGGAGCGAAGCGAAGCTCTTATACTACACTCCTGCTTTGGTTTACTTACAAATACTCCTCCTGTACGGCTAAAGCGACATGCACAAATTTCAGCACAGTCATAGTAAACAACCATGGAAAGGTATACATCTGAAATGGTACAAATCGGACCACAGGGCTTTTCCCTAAGTGAATTTAAACTTTTAGAAATTTAACATGGGCCTTATGGGTTAGTTGGTCGCTATGACAATATTTGCGAGATAACAATAAAAAGGTAAACAATAGACGTTAGTCAACGAATAATTTAAAATAGCACATTACAAATACCGTACAGAGAAAGAGAATTAACAATTGAATTCATATCATTGAGCATAATTTACTACTGTAAAAAATGAATAACCAATAATTAGGGTCGTCGGAATTAGGCTGATGCACCATTGACTTTAAATACTCAAAATATCCATTCCATTAATGTGAACCAAATATAGGCCTACCATTGAGTTTGGATACTGGAATACTGCAAGTAGACTTTCCGTTAACTAGACGTACCAATAATACAGACTTTGACTAGGTACTACTGCAAATAGGAACTCCATTAGTGTGAACCGAAGATAATATTAAGTTTGGATACTGCAAGTAGAACATTGACGTGAACTAGACGTACCATTTACTTTGGATACTGCAAATAGGCACTCCATTTATGTGGGGGTCTGCGGGCCAGACTTTTTTGGTTTTGGTCGTGTCGGGTCATAATTTTGGCCCTCGGTTCTCGGGGGGCCATTTGAAAATGTTTATTCCTCTGCAATAATAAATGTAATATAAGAGGTATTCTTTGAAAATAAATTATTATTAATTTTTGGCCCGACCCGATCTTGACCCGAACAAATCTCTGACCCGACCCGCTCTCTCAGGCCTTTCGCTCGTCCCAACCCGACCCAAAAAATTCAGGGACCCGCTGACCCCAACATTTATGTGAATCAAATGAACCATTGACTTAGGATACTGCAAGTAGACAATTAAGCTTATTGCAGGATTAATATGCTAGCTCCGCTTAATATTGCAAGCAGACAACTGCATTGTACACCTAGTTTAACTGTGGTTGTGAGTGAAGGTGTTGATGCTGAATGTGTTGATACTGAAGGTGAAAAAGTGCCAAACTCGACACCAGTAGGGAGTTTTATATGCTTTACTTGTTGCTTGTTATTGCTTTATGTTATTGCTTTATGCAAGCAGACAACTGCATTGTACACCTAGTTTAACTGTGGTTGTGAGTGAAGGTGTTGATGCTGAATGTGTTGATGCTGAAGGTGAAAAAGTGCCAACCCTGACACCAGTAGGGAGTTTTATATGCTTTACTTGTTACTTCTTTATGTACCGGTAATGGTACAGTAATTTACCGTCTGGTGGTTTTCAATACAATGTTGAAATCTGTGAGGATTCAGACATTGATTATTGTGTGTTTTCAGAGTCCCTGGTTCCGCAAGTCCAGGTTCAAGGGAGGTAAAGGCAAGTCTCTCAATGTTGGAGGTGCTGGGCTTGGTTTCAGAGAAAGGCCAGGTTTGGGTCTCCCAGACAACATCAGCACAAGTGTAAGTAGCCCTTATTGAACCCTATACTATTTGCTGGAATTACTGTTCAATTTTATAATTCACTGTGACATAACAAATTTAATTAAGATGTTTAATCTGTTTCACTGTTGATCACAATTCAGTTTAAATGGTTCATATTAAGAATTTTGTTCATCTATAAAGTAAAGTTAAACACCTTTACAAATATTGCTGCCTTGGATCCAACTTTTTGCTGCTTTTAAAAAGTGGTAGTCAACAACTGGTTTTTAAATCTTATTGTTTTTTAAGCTTACCAAACTGTGCTCATTTGATTGCAGAGTGGAGGGCCGTCAATGAGCATTTCTGAAATCCTACCAAAGAGCAAGACCGGCCCAGGGACAGACCGTTTGGCAGCCATGAAGGCCGCGTTCAGAGCTCAATATCAAAGTCAGGTAAGTTCTTGTTGACACTTGACTGCATTGACAGGAAGAATCCTGGGGGAGATATTCAGAATTTCGCCATGATTTCGGAAGAAAATTATAATAGTGTTTCTATGACTTAAAGGTTTATTCAGGAGTTTTCCATGATGACGGAAGATGATGATGATTTCTCCGTGACTGCGGACCACAATTTTGGATTATAGTCATTATATAATTTTGAAAATTAAAATTAGGCCTACAACAAATTTATGGTTAGGTTTTAAATTGAATACTGTTTTACAGTTAATCATACCAGACATGCTTTAAAATCATAATAATCAGATAATTTGGTTAATTTACCATATTTAAACCCTTTAGCAATTTTTGAAAGTATGAAGGGGTGCTGTCATTTGAATTGTTGTTACTTGATTTTTAATCAACTATTCTTCCTCAAATAAATATCTATCTATATATTAATTACATAAGCCGATTCTTTGCGTCAAAATTGTGGGCGACTGGGAAGTCGTAGAACGATGGGAGGGCTCAAATTAAAGGTCTTGGTCCCATGACGGCGGGAAAAATAGTGAAATTCCCAAAATCTTAACACAAAATTAGATATAATGTAAAATGTTCTCCATAAGAATAGCATTAGAAGGCATTTACTGCTGATTTGTGTTTACTTCAATACAGCTGTTTGTGATTTATCATCAAGCAAGTAAGCTTACATTTGGATTACTCATTTGCCAGTCAATTCTGCAATGTAATGTATAGGCCTACTATATAAAACCAACTATATAAAGGGATAACTTTACCCTCAATAATCAAGACTTTTTAGTTATGCCAAAGTTGAAATAAATTGTTTTCAAGATTAAAGAAACGATTCAAGATTAAAAGAAGATCTTCTTTGTTTTGATTTCAAAACAAATGTTAAAGATTTATTCCACACTTTTTTGTAAATTTACTAACATTTATATTTGAGATTCATTGTAGTGTTTAATCAATATTTTGTATGAAGTGGAATAACCTCAACGGTTACTCTTAGAAAACAATTTGGGAATAAAGATGAAGTAGGTTCGTACAGGTATTTGTTCATTAAATACTTAAGTACTTTGTTAATTGCTCCAAGCAAATATGTTCAAATAATATAGCCTAGCATGCACGGTAGAAAAGAAAGCACCTATATATAACAGTAGAACATAAAGTTAATTTCCGTTTCTTAAAACTAACAAAAAGTATTTATGTCGTGATTAGTTTCGATAACTGGGTTAATGGAACCCTAATCAGTCACAAAATAGTTAGTAATTGAACGTTGATTAGTCCCTTTTTTGTAGAATATGTAAATCAATCGCACCTTAAGGAGGATTACCACCACATATACTTACAATGGGCTAATAATAGTGGTTTTTTTATTGTTCATCAGAAACAAATTTAGGATTATGTTCTGTCAATGGGATGCCTTTACTTAAGACTAATTTTGTTAAACCTTTACAAAATGAGCTTAGACTTAGAAATAATAACTGGGTAGGGTAGGGATGCTAATTTAGCGGTTTTGACCAAGAACTAAGTTTATGTCAACACACCATTTTTTGCCTTTTCTTATTTGACGAAGACAATTTCCAATACTGTATTTCAATCGTGGAAGCCTTTTTTATCAGCATTAACCAAAAAACAAAAGCTACCTTAATAAACCAATATTTATTCTTTAGCAGTTAAACCTCTGGAATCATTAAAATTCTTTATTGAAAATAACATCAACAAAAGCAAACAAAGACAAATAACAAACTGTTTTTGTTTTTTTCACACAAAAGATATGTTGTACTGGGATATCTATCCTGACACATATATAATTTGATTCTGAGTTTGTTTAAATATTACAACAATTTCTTTTCCATTTGAGTTTTTTAGGGACTTATGTCCCTACAAGCCACTAGTTTAAATATAAAACTTGTAAACCTCCTATTTTTGAAATATTTTTCTTGATACTACATGTCTTAAAAAAAAAAAAAAAAAAACAATGTTTATGCTAATTCATTTTTAAAATTTTCAAATAAAAAAAGTTAAATTATTTATTTATACTTATTTAAGTCTTATAAATGAACCAATGTTCAGAAAACCTCACCTTTTGAAAAAAATAAAATGAGCTTAAATTTACTCTAAACTTAGTTTTTTGTTTTGTAATCTACTTTTAACTTAAATTAAATAAAGTTTTATTGAGACAAACTAGTTTATTAACATTTAGTTTACATACAGTAGTTCCTTGTAAAAAAGCTGTAATCAAGACTATAATCCATAATCGCAGCACAATCATAATCATCTCTCGCAGTGGTGAGAACACCATCATTGGCTTCTGCTATCGTGAACAACTCCTACCCACGCCGTGTAATAATCATAGTCACATCGATATCACAGTCATCTTAAACTGCAAATTTGCGGGGACTTTGGGAATTTTCTATTGCACAATTCTTCCAGACGCTTTTTTTGGCAATCACGATTATTAAAGCTTTAATCCCAAATTTTGCCAATGTTGGTCTGGTCCACAAGTTCACATTTTCCCAACGCCCTCACATACATCTAATGTGTGTTCGTCCGCAGTTCACAGCGTCAGAAGACCATACGTGGGAGCAGACAAGGGACCAACCTGGCGTGGTGGCACCACTAACTAAGGGACCTCTCAAGGAGCGACGGGCAAAGAAAAGCCGCTGGGACACGTCTGATGATGCGTCGGCGTCGTAGTAACATGTTGTGCATAGACTCCGAGTGTATAGTGTGTGATGGGTTGAGGGTGTGTTTACATCTGTCTTACTTAATTTGATCTGAGAAAATGAATCGGCTGCATGGTAAATTATTAATTTCATCAAATAAGAGTTCATGTAGGTTCTTCAGCATGTAAAGTTTTAGTTTTGCAGTAGTGTTGTATTACAGACCATTAGACATGCTGTTTTAGTTGTGGTGTTTCCAGTTATTTGACAGGTGAAAAGGTTAAATTACCTGATGTCATCTTATAGTCTAACCTTCATCTGCATCTGGATAATGCATATTTCGACAGTCTCGCCATCATCAGGTCCTTGTATGTGAACTTATCTTTCCTGAAGAAGTTCTGACACAAGTTCAAAACAAAGCACAATAACATAAACACACCTAACATTTAGTGAAGCTTCAACCATGAGGCAACATCAGCCAATTTAACCTTTTGATTGTTTAACCTTTGTGTTAACAATTAATATGTTTTGCAGCGATACATGATTTCAATTATGAAACCATTAGTAAGGACATTTTGCTAGTCTTATTGTAGGTCAAAGGATTTCATCTGAGTGTTAAACTGAGTTAGGTAGTCCGCCCTATATGTGGTGGATGTTGATTGCCAAGTGCTGCTAAAGCAAAATGTGTAATCGAGGACTTGAACGTGTGTTTTAAACAAATCTACCGTACCACACTGAAATAAGGCTTCTTACCTAAATAATTGTTAAAAGGTTTTTAGAAAAGATATTTAAACGTTTTTCTGTAATTGTTTATCCTTGAAGTTAATACTTGCATTTACACAATTCGTCACATTATGATTACATTTGGCAAACCGCTTATTCAGAACATTGATGTGTAAAGGGAGGATTACGTCAGCTGAAGTATGTCTTTATGCCTACTTTCTATTTGTAATCTTTTAGAGAAATTGGGGCTTTGTTAACTTAGCATTTGTCTATCCACATAGGGAATGTATCCAGCAAAGCAAGGGGTGAGCCGGGATAGTACATGGTTGAACTATATTAAGCTAAATGGTTTATGTTACCTTGCTTCAACAAGTGATCCTTTGCATTAGTACACTACTATGGTTTCGGACTTGTGGAGTCCATCTTCAGTGTGACAAAAACATAAGGTAACCTATCCGATTTTGTTACATCCGTTGTTACCATTAACACTGACCACTGACTCACCACAAATAATTAGATTTCCTCACCACAAATCATATTAGTTAAGTAGGATGGGTGCAAAAGGAATGTTTCAGAGAAAAACTTTATTACATAAAGTAAACAGCTTAGTTTTAGAAAGTTTAATAAAATCACTTGTAAACTCACCCCATCTACAATATTTGTGTTGTTCATATTACTATTAAGTGTTATTATTATTATTACAACTAAAAGTGTTTCAATTTAAGTTTAAACTTGTAAGATAGCTGATTTGAAAAGAATTGTAAATATTTTTTATTTCTTTAATTTATTTTATTGTAACAATAAAATAAATTACAATGTAATTATATAATAAAGTGCATATTACTTTGCATAATTGGGCTCTATGTTTGTTCTCCTTATTAAACTTGTAGAAAATGTATATCAAAAGGTTGTCTAAAATGTTGGGCTAGCAACTTTTGCCTACACTTGATGGAACAGTCAGGTATATAACCCTTGAAAAATATCAACCACTATATTTCAAAATACAATTCCTCGCTCAAACCTCTGTCTGTTTAAATGTTAAACTTAAGTTTTACTTTAATTACAAATGAAATAAATTCTTTCACTTTTAACATTTTTAGACAAAGAATTAGAGTAAAGAATTAAGATAAATTTAAATAATTTCAATATAAAAAAACCACACCAAGTCACCAAATACATTGTTGTGCTCCTAACCTGACAATATTTTTTTACTGGAAGGATAAAAAATAAAATTAAAAAAATATATTTATATTTACTAATGTCTTCCGGTATACTACCTTAGGTAGGACTGTTTATTTGTGAGCAATGACCTCCTACAAGTGTATCATATTGGCTTGGATTGAGAGCAAGTTGGCACAGGGTATCATATGACCGTCACATGTAAGGTAAGATAGGTTCTACTGGATTATGCTAGGTTTCCTAACTTAAAGGAACTCTAACAATCCATGAAACATTTCCGTATTGACTAAAAAAATATAAAAAAAATATGCTGCAGAGTGCAGACACAATTAATTGTGCTGTCAGTAACTCGACTCTGAGTTGAAGGTGATTATACGACATGAAGTTTGGATGGAGTTACAATAGAATCACTTTATTATTGAAATTACTGTAAGATACTAGCTAGAACTCTGTATGACTAGGTATCACGTTATGTCTTACATTTAACCTCCAGTTTAAAGTAATTATCTTAAATGGGATTTTTTTATTTTTTATGTAATATTTCCCTTAACCATTTGAATCTTTCCACCATTTTTTTTTATTTGTAAGTTCTTACAACAATATTTAAAATTTTGAATTATTTAATTTATTGCCCATTTTCAGGCTCATTTGGGCATCTTTCAAACATTGTTTATACGTTGTCATTAATTAATAACATTTTTCTCAAATATTCAGTTTAAAGGATAATTAATACCAATTAGAATAGCAGATTTTATATCCCTGGTTTTTTTCCGTTGTCTATTATAATTGTGATTGATGACCAAATAACAAATCTTGCGTTTAATACTCTGTTTACAAAAGGAAAGAACAATCTCTCAGATTATTGCATTAATAATGTAGAAAATTCAGTTGTTAGTAACAAATCCCATTGAGTAAAGTAGTGGTGAGGGGTTTCCACTATCAAGAACAAATCTGCCATGATAACAGTACTTCCTCTGGTGTCAATGTCCTGGAAGATGAGCCAGAATGTCCCAGATGATAAGGATTGATAACAGAGTGGGCCACTGGCATCCTGTTGTCTTCCGTCGTCTGTCATCCCAACAAGCGACATGGGGTACACCTTCCTTTGGTAAGGCTACATGTTATAGGTATGATAGGTAAACTTGTATAAGGTGTTTAGGATTTTTGTGAAGAGAAGCAGACTTACCTAAATGTGGAAGAGTAAAATCTGGTTCAATTGACACAACACTTAGCTGTTTACACAATTAGAATATTTCACTGACAAAATTTTCAACCCGCTTTGAATTGGACAGAGAGTTGTAAGGATTGATCATCCTATTTAAGACTGTTTTATGTCAGTAATATTTAGAGTGCACTAATGTAAATTCTCTCTTTATGGTTTAAGGTCCAAACCAGGCTAGGGTAAAGAAATAAATTGTTGAATTAAATTGTAAAATTGTCTTTCACTTTTGTAGACATTTTTATCTGATAGACTACTTGTGCTAGTAAAAAAAAACACAAAAAAACAAGATAATCAGGAATCCCAAATTGAATGAGAACAGTGTTCTCAGAAGCAGATTTCTGATTTATAATTTTGACTACCGGTAAGAAAGAAAAGACATTGTTTTTGTGTTTACCGGCATTAAATTAATACACAGAAAGAAACAGAAAACACTTATGTTTTATAATTAAAGACTTGAAAGCACAAAATATGTCAAATAACACTTGTAATAACATATTTACACTTATACTGTTTACTCACAAGACGGTAAATACATATAAAAGATGGTAAGTGGTGATCGATTTTGATTGGATACTCCAATCGAAATCGATCACCTTGTGAGTAAACAGTATAAGTGTATATGTATTTTTACAAGTGTTATTTGATGTTTTTTTTTCTTTTTTTTTGCTTTCATGTAATTTAATAACACGTACGATGTTGATAAAGAAGTTATTATTAAATATACATACATAACCTGTTGTAGGCTGGTTGTAGTGATAATGCAACACAGGTTGAGTGAAGCCCGCTTCCTCCACTCTCCGTTCATGTTTCAAGAAGCAGAGTTTCTCTCACAGTTTGACAAGAAAGACGTTCAAGATGTTGACGTTTGCTCCACTGCTGAGTGTTTAGCTGCTGGTGAGTTAATTCATCTTCAATCTGCAGAAGATTTAGTGACCTTGATCTTGCACAGTAATTTCCACTCCAACCTCTGTCATTTTATTGATTTTGTTTGTGATTTTTAATTTACGGTACTAAATGCAAATCTTCTCCTGCTGACATTATTTCTGTAAATTTGTAAGTGAAGTATTAATTTTAATATGTTTTTACTTTTACCATGAAAATTAAACAAAAACGTTTGAAAGTTTCGATCCCCTTGTGGCGTAACCTTAACCTAACATACCATTAAGAATCTTGTTAATCTTCTCCCTTGTGGATGTTAGGATAACAACATTTATTACTTTTCAACTTGATAACAAACAATTTTATTTCAGCCGTTGAACTGAAGGCATCAATGAACCTTTCTGTAGACCCTTGTCAGGACTTTTACCAGTTCTCGTGTGGAGGCTGGGTCAAAGATCATCCAGTTCCGGCCACCGAGTCTCACATCAACCAGTTCAACCTGGTCTCTAAAACTCTCTACTTCCAGCTCAGAGGTAACACAAACATGTTAGCCATACGAGGCTATAGGTAGAGTTTGTAAGCCAATTCCTCAAAAATGGATCAAACTTGGAAGACCGCTTTGGCTGCCAAAGGCATATAAAATGCTACAAAATTTATATAACACACACATTGTATCTCAATTACAATATGAAAGAAGGCAGGCAATTCAACAATTTACTTAGTTAAAAAAATAAATAAAATAGTGAGAGTGGGTATTTGAGCTATTATTATGACCCTAAAAATATGAGCCAGGCAGCTTGTATTAGAATTAATTTTCTACTACTGGAATGTCAAATATTTAGCTTGTCTTAGAAAATCAAATCAATTAAAATCAAAATGTCATTTATTTCGCAAAAAAACAGACACAACATAATATTATGATCCCTGTACAAAAATATTTACAATATTATTTATTTTTCTAGGTTATATTTAATTTTTTATAAAAGCTTTTTAAATCAAGCGAAATTATCCCCACAAAGGATAATTTAATCCTGTGAGTGGGAGAGAGTCGTTATATTATTAGAGATTTTTTTTTTATAAAAAATATGTTTTTTTTTTAAATATGTACAGTAATGCATTTTTTTTGTATTATTTGATGAAATTTTTCAGAAATGCTAGAGTCTCCAAATGAAAAAGAAGATCCTTTGCCAGTTCGGAACTCTAAACAGTTCTATACTGCATGCATGGATACAGGTGAGTCGTTGGAATCGGATGGAAGGACGATATTTTATCAATCTTACAAGTACTCTTATTTGTTCTTTATTACTAATTCAATCATTGTTTTAAACCTTTTCTTTATTATTAATGGAAACACTTGTTTAAATTTTTTGCTCTATTTTTTTTAAAGTTTTTAGTTACCTTTATTGGCTTTTGCTCTATTGGCATCTACATAATGTATTTACTTTTAAAATAGTTTTATCACATGAATGGTGTTTCTCACGTTTTAGTTCAAAAATGACAAATACTTTTAAAGATTGTTCAACACAAATGTTGAAGAGGCTGCCCCAAAGAACACACACATACAGTAAACCAAAGTTGTTCAATGCCGCAACACATTGTTACAACACACAATATTGACGCAAGATTTGTTGAATCGATGGCTCAGTCGATAGCGTGACAACTACAGTTGCAAGACAGCAATGTTCAAGGTTCTTGTCCTGGTGCCGCCTCTTAAATCTATTAGTGCAGTTTTAGTACATTCTTGTTCTGCCTCAGCTCACCCCTTGCTTTGAGTTATGTTCCATAAGGGCCTGTATTTTTTATTTTTTTTATAAAAGAGGTTGGTGGCCTCTTTTGCCCGTTCACATAGACTACAGATCTGTGCGTGGAACGTATCCAGCAAAGCAAGGGGTGAGCTGGTACAGTACGAAGGTGAACTGTACTGATAAAATGTTTGCGGCGGTGACCAGGATCCGAACCCACGACATCGCTGCCTTGGGCCTGAAGTCCGTGACGCTGCCAACTGAGCCACCGACTCACCATGGTGCATCAACATGTTTGCATGGATGTATTAATGTTTGTTTTGTCAATCACATGAGTAGAAGTTGTTCATGGTTAAGATCTGATAGTTGATACATCATTTTCAAATGAGTAAATTAAACGAGACCACTCAAATAGATGCATGTAAAATTATACTGTACTATTCTATCAGTAGTGATCATTTGCTAAATATCTCTGATCTTGGGGTGTGTGTCATGCAGATAAGGTGGAAGCTAGAGGACTGAAGCCACTGTCAGAGCTGCTGAAGCAGTTTGGTGGATGGCCGATGACACAGAAACGTTGGGATCAGAAGTTGTTCAACTGGCAAACAATGTCCTCTGAGGTGATTAGGCGATGGGGGCTCGCTCCTCTTGTTTTCTTTTACGTCGGACCGGACAGGAAAAACTCCAACATCACTGTCATCACGGTTAGTTTTTAATATGATTTTGGTTTTCAGTAGTTCAGTTAAATTAATTTAGTTCTATTTTTTCTTTCATATATTTTTTTAAGTTACTAGTTTATTTTCTATATTTCCCCCCCCCCTCCCTCTCTGATTTACATAGAAATACTAGACCCACACTTTACTAATGAAGTAATGATTCGTAAAGTGATACTTTACTAATGAAGCAAATGATGACTCTCACATTTCATTTGAAAATCGTCTCAGAGATGGGGTAGAGTATCGTAAATACAAATGTGCACAAGTAATTTCGCAAAACTTATAATATTGCGACCCTCTCACAGCAGGTTTAAAGTAGAATATAACTGTACCACTTGGTGGACTGTTCACTGTGTAATAGGTATGATCACACTCATGTGCTTTTTTGTGCGCCAAGCGCATGCATCTTAACACATCTTGACGCAAGTAACGCATGCTTCAAGGCATGTCCGAATCGAGTCGGATGGAGCTCTATTCCATAGCGCTCAGCGTAGGGCAAGATGATCCACCAGCCTTGGATACCTGTGCGTTTTAACTTGCAACTGCTTTGTATTTTTGACAAGTTGTCCGTGTTGTAGTTGTTTGGAGCAACATTAATAATGAAAAAACCTTAGAATTCATGGAAGATTGTAGCTCTCATGTGTGTTTGATGGACATACAGAGTAATAAATAAAAAAATAATTAAGTTAAATTGAAATATATTAAACAAAATAAAATAAAATAAGAAAGTTACGAGTTTTATTGTACTCCATCATCTACATTGTACGCCATGAATTTTTACGTTTTTGATCGTTTCTTAACACTAAATATACCGCACTAATTCCTCCCAATAGAATAGCGTCGTCTTCATCCATCTAGGAAAAACATCCAAAAGCGAGGCATGAGTATGGATAGCTGAAAGGCATGTTGAATTGAAAGTTGAAAGGCACTTTGAAATTAGAAGCGCACGAGTGTGGATTTAGCTAATCACTGTGATGTACCGTGTCTTGTGTATTAAACAATGAATGAAAGAACAATAATTGTCAATTGTGCAATCTAGCTTGATTCCATGGCCAATTTTAGCTTAGTTTCTGAGTAAGACCAGCTGATTTTTCTTTATCCAGTACCATTTATAAAAGGCCCAAGAACAGCTGGGTCCAGTTTTGAACTATAACTTATCTCATGATTGAACCGGAAACACCTTGATTGTTAGGCGAGCACTATAAATACTCAGCTACCCAGCCTGAAATAAAACACATAAGACGATCCGTTCTACATATAGTTAACAACCAACCTGTTTGTAGATTGACCAGCCGTCGCTGGTACTACCACGCTCCATGTTGGTAGACAGTGTTGTTTACAAGAAACAGCTTACTGCCTACGTCCACTGGGTGGCTGGATCGGCCCAGCTGTTGTCTCGTCACACTGGCGAGGACGTCTCTGAAGACATGGCGTATCAGGACGCAGCTAATGTTGTACAGTTTGAAATGGAACTGGCTAAGGTAAGCTCATTACAACAACCGAGTCTCAATAATATTATTTTTGTTTTCAGTAACTTATTGTTCTGTATTAAGGAAAAATAGGAATTTTCAAACATGTTAGTTTTATTTCAAGAAAAACAAATCATGAACCTATGTTATTTAATCTGTTAAAAGGTGTTAAAAATAGTTATTTTACCGACAGCAGGCCATAAAATAAATATGGTGCTTGCTTAACGTGGTTTTGCTTTGTTCAGCATTTTACTTGATCACAGCTAAGATGTATAGCAAGGAATACCTGTATTTTTACTGTCAGGGATTACTAACTGTGTGCATGAATGGTTCTGTAGTAGTTGAGAGCAATTTAAAATCACAAATGATTAATAGATCGGAATAGTTATTTTGTTCAACCATCAAATCACACAATACAATAATACAATACAATATTCTTTATTGTTCATTCGTTAAGAATTTCAATAGTGTCAATCAATGCTTTATATATATCTAAAGCATCTAGTATGTTTAAGCTTAAACTATTAATGAACTGTTTCTGTCAAGTTAACTGCGCCTAACGAGATGCGGAGGGACGGTCGGAGAATGTACAATGACATGACACTGAGACAGTTACAACAATGGACAGATTCTGCCGTCATAGAGAACCCTGTGGTATGTAGAGACAAGCTGCATACAGTAAAGCCAATTTAATCTAGGCCTACACTAATTTTAGAAGGGAGCTCCCATTTTGAAAGTTAGACAGTTAGACATAGTAAATGTAAAATTCCAGTTCTCAGAGGACAGTACAAAACTACTCTGTAATTCTCTAATATGTTTCATTGTTTTAAAACTACTGTACTGTAAACTGCATTTTAATTTAGCAAAATGGTAAACTACTACAGTATGTTCTTGTTTCAGATAGACTGGTTGGCTATGGTGAAGGGAATATTTAATGACACTGATATAAAAATAGAATATTCAGAGAGAATTGTAGTAAGAGAATTAGACTTTCTGTTTAAACTGACACAGCTGATAGAAACTTCTTCTCCAAGGACTGTGGGTAATTTTTCTGTTACACTAACATAATGAATTAATAGAAAGGATTAGGTGTTTGGATATCAAATACAAAACATGTTAACAAAATTATATAGAAAAGATTTTAATTTTAAAATACTAGCTACTTGGGATGTATAAAAAAATAAAATGAAAGCTCAATAGAGCAATGGGGGAATTGCGGCACCATCTTCAAATTGAATGCTTTGAATTTTACGTCTAGTTCCCCGTAGCCTAAGCGAAACTGCTCGAATGATGGAAAGCTGGCTGTTGAATGTATATGAAAATACCAGATAGTTTTTTTTTAGAGTACACCTGAGTCCTGAATACAAACAACCGATTTGAATAAAACTAAGAAGGTAACTGTATTGATTTCTAAATAAAAAACAATCCTATGTGCTATGAAATACTAAGCAGGGTTTCAAGTTCAAGCTGACCAGGAAACTGCAAAACCTGCACACATACTAAAATGTTGATAACCGTTAATAAGTCTGTGAATTTACCTAAATGTTTTATGGTCTTGGAGAATTTGGAATAATCACTAACAGCCTATAGCCGAGCATCTATTAATTAATGATGTTTCTTTTGGTTTCTTTTGTTATATCCGGGATTACGGCGAAAGTCAATCCCAGTGTTGTCAAGATCGCGGCAGACTCAGGGGAGCAATATATGGCTATTTACAGTCATAGAGAATAGAAATACATTTTCCTATTTTAATTCAGTTTCATTTACTAATCCAAACAATTTGGCTGTCCAAACAGGATCAAGCCCAAATTTGGTGTACTCTGTACTGGTAATTGTTTATTAAATTAATAAAACTTTTAAGCCAATATGTGGTGCTGTGTTTATAGTAAAGTTTCAATTAAAGAGTAAAAGCCATCTTAGTATTTTTTGTTTTATTTTCTTATAATGTGTATTTAAACAAGTTAAATATTTAATATTTTTTAAGAAAATAGTGCAAACCCTGTTCGTGTTACTTTGTAATTAATTTCATGATAGAAAACCCCCATAGATCGATGATAGCTGATGATAGTATCCAGGAGCATCTTCAGATTTTTCTACAAATTGATCTTTAAATCTTTGCACTAAATAGTAAACACTTTAACACTTTTACGGAAACTCCAGTCTGACAGGCCCACGGGAATTTTCACAAACGCATATTGGCAACACTGTTTACTTGGGGGATTCCATTCCCTAAATACCTTCCTCCCCTTTTCCTCCCCTACCTGTTGATACATTGTTTGTTCATTTTGCGTGGGTGCCGTGACCTTGACAGGTTGTCTGTTCATAACATGCCCAGCAGTAGTGTATTTTAAAGCAGGGTCTCACAGGCCAAGGGTTTCGGTTTGTGTGTTTCTAACTAAGCAGGGTCCATTATTTTCAAATGGGGTCTCACAGACCAGGGGTTTCGGTTAGCGTCTGCCTGGGTAGGGTTTAAGTATTAGTGTTTAACTTAACAAACAGCTAGGCCTAAACACCCAGTCTTTTATGTAATGGTCTTTTATTGAATGCAATCATTGTTGATTAAATTAAAACCTTTTTCAGCTAACTACATGCACTGGAGATTGGTCAAACTACTGAATCGAGACCTGAACAACAAAATCGCTGAGCTATCTTTTGAGTTTGACAAAGTTTTATCTGGGGCCACAGAAGATTTGCCAAGGTGAAAATATTTTATAATTACACTTAACAGTTTTTATTTAGATGGATTGGTACCCCTGTTGTATAATATTTAATGTCATCAAAATGAGAATAATAATTTCCCTCAGTCAACAAATCATAATAAAAATAAAAAAATTAATTGTGATGATAACCCATATTAAGTTACAGTATTCTCAATGGAATACAATACAATTAGAATACAATTGGAATACAATTAGAAAAACATATTTAACTTGATTATACAAGGGCTGTTCGGAAAGTAACCTCTGGTTTTCTATAAATTAAACACAGAAGTAGAAAAAACATTTTTATTATATACATCTTAAAACTACGTCTTTCCTCTACTTTTCAACATAGTTTCCTTGGACATTCAAACACTTATCTTATCTATGGACTAACTTTGAAATTCCCTCTTCAAAAAAATCACCCGCCAATGCCTTGAGCCATCCTGTGACTGCATCTTTCAGTTCCTCATCATCGTCAAATCGCTGGGAACCAATCCATTTTTCATGTGACTGAAGAGGTGGTAGTCGCTCGGAGCCAGGTCTGGGCTGTATGGAGGATGTGAAAAACATCCCATTTAAACTGGTCCAAAAGGTCCTTGGTTTTCTGGGCAGAATGAGGACGTGCGTTGTCATGCAGAAGGACAACACCAGACAACAGAAGACTGTGGCATTTGTTTTGGATCGCCTGTCTTAGGTTCTTCAGAGTTTCAACGTACAAATCCGCATTGATTGGTGCACTACGTTCCATAAACTCAACCAGCAGCACCCCTTTGGAGTCCCAAAACACAGTTGCCATGAGCTTCTTTTTGGAAAAATCTTGCCGGGCTTTTGTTGGTTTGTGTGGCTATGCCGTATGACCCCACAACTTAGACTGTTGTTTAGTCTCATGATTCACGTATTTGACCCAGGTTTCATCTCCAGTCACAATTCGGTTCACAAAATTTTCTCCTTCCTTATCATATTGAGTCAAAAAGTCCAGAGCCGAGTTCATCCGTTGAGTCTTGTGGTTTTCCAAAAGGATTTTATGACACCCACCGAGCACAAAATTTATGGTACGGTAACCTAACCTGTTAGTCACAACTTCGTACAGAGCAGTCCTGGAAATTTGAGGAAATTCATCCGAAAGCTCTGAGATGGTGAATCATTGCTTAACACAAGCTGTTGCGTTGATTTTCTCAACCAGTTCATTACTGACCACAGATGGACTGCCACTTCTTTCTTCATCATGCACGTTCGTTCGGCCATTTTTAAAAGAGCGAACCCATTCCCGAACAACTCCTTCACTCATAATTTTAAAGTCCATCCACAACACAAAGTTCTCTACAATTAGCTGCTGCCAAATACTGTTTAGCTACGAAAAACCGAATCACAGCACGCACCTCACACTTGGCGGGATTAACAATTGCAGTACTCATTAAGAATAGCGACGGCAAAAAACTAGCACTCGAACGACCCTTACACTACCACGGCTGGACGCCGACTGACCTGCGACACGTGCAGGAGCAAAAATGGCAGCGCTACCTCCTCTATTTTCCGCGCAAGAAGCAAACGGAGGTTATTTTCCGAACTGCCCTCGTATAATTGCTATATCTACCTGACCATACATGGTAAACTGTTCAAAAATTAAGATTCCATTATTTGAGATTTTTAATGCTATTGGCATTTGTTTGAATTTTTTCCAAGGGAATAGTCCAAACTGCAGTTTAAATTGTAAAGAAAACATATTTAACCGTTGGTTAAAAAATAGTTTAATGATTAAATTGCTCAGATGCTTACATGTTTGGTTGCGAAGACACCATTTTCAAAGCTTGCATAGCTCTACAAAAACAGCAGACAGTTTTAAAAAAGGTTTTTAATTCAAGCAGACCTCAAACTTTGAAAACGAAACATATTAGGTATTGAGCAATTTAATGGTTGGACAATTTAACAGAGGTATGAAATAGTTCTTTGTGTAACTAGTGTGCGAAGTGACAATTTGCTGCACATGAGACAAATGCTTACACACAAGCCGCAGGGAGTGTGGAAAGTTTCTGGAGTGCAGCAAAGGCACTTTGGGCTCGTGTTACACATTATATTTTTCCTACAGTTACTATGAAGCATATAAATAATTAGTCTTTCAAACACTATACAACATGTTTTAGGTTAGGTTAAATCCAAGTGTAAAAAAAAGGGAAACGCTGCACCAGCTGATCGCAGTTTTGACCTTTAAGTGTTGCCAACCTATTTTCAAGCTTATACGTATTAATAAAAGCACACTGTTTTGTGTTGTTTCGTTGGAATACTGGAGTGCGGCAAAAAAAAAAAAATTTGTCAAAAGTAAGTAAATGCAGCAGTTAGCTACTTTTGGTGCTATAATCAGTACAAGGAGGCCCCCTTTGTCAGGTAACTGTTCTAACAAAATGGCCCAAGGGACTAAAACATGACTTTTGATAAACATTGTTATGTATTTTCTACAAAAATCCTTTATTCAATCACCCTAACTCCCATTGAACATGTTCAACAGGTGGGAAGAGTGTGTTTTAGCCACCAATAGTCTTTGGAGATATGCAGTCGCCTACAAGTATGTCCAACTGCACTTTGATGATGAGGCCAAACAATCTGTAAGTAAACTTATGCACAGTACACCAATGGATACATGTGTATGCAATGTTAACTTCTTCTTTCATGTTCACGACATGTTAGTCATGCTTTTTCCACTCAATCTCTTTACCAGTCTTCAACTTCCCTGATCTCTTAATTCCTAACTGTAGATGGGATACTCCCAGCTATGGATTAACATACGCAGTACTATACTGATAATAAGACCAATTCGTAAATTACAAAGCAAAATGTGGTTAGGATTCCACTATAAACTGTAGGTCCCTTCCCTTAGTTGCCATTGGTTGTATGTGCTATTAACACGCTGTGTGCGGCCATTCCCGATCGGGTATGGTTAATTAAAAGTCCTGTCTAAGGACCTTAAGTCGGCCTTAGTCAGTAATAAGACTACAAGATAGCGCCACTCATCTTCATTCATACCTGGCTTAAAATATCTACCTTCGTATGGTCGCCATTTCAGAGATAAAGCATTAAGGATTAAGGTATATCCCACACCTTGTTTTTCTCATAACAGCCCATAAATCCTCATTCCTTCAACTCATTCATATGTGATGCAATATTGAATGAACAAATAAAAATGGTATTCTTTCCCATTGTCTTCACTGACCATTATCTATGGTAAAGCAAGTTGTTAACCTTTCTGCAGGCACTGGAGATGGTAGGCAACTTGCGAGCTGGCCTGTTGGAGCAACTAGACAATGTCAGCTGGATGGATGAAGATACTAGAGTTGCAGCCAAAACCAAGGTTCGACAAATGACACAGTTCATTGGCTACCCTCACTGGTTCAGCAATCAGACTTACCTCGAGCAGTATTACAATGAGGTAAACAAACACATTAACCAATGCCATCAACATTATCATTGTTTAGCTATTGTAATGACAGCAAATCTAGAGTTTTCTGTTGCTGGTTTGACCAGAATCATTGTGCAACTACCCAAAGAAAAAAACGGGTTTCAACAGCTGTCAATTTTGACTCGGTTGTCTGTTATAGTTAGGGTTTGTGGCATTGTATTTTACTATCAAAGACCTTTAATTTGATATGCATTGCATATCAATCTATGCTTAGGCTTACCTTAAAAAGTGTCGTCTAACTCCTAGCAGGGTTCCCCCTGAGGAGGTAGCGTATCACTGAATAATGTTTTAAAATTATTTTTTATGTCCACTGACTTTGTTCCAAGTTGGTATCTCTATCTTTATTATTTTTAGCGAATTTCCCTATAGGGAAGTAGCTATTACCGTAGGTCTCATGGTAAGACTTAGGCCCGGGACCGATCTACTTTTTCATTTTAATGTCCCCAGAGGCCAAAAACACCATTCGTTCAAATTTTTATATATGTATATATATATATATATATATAGGTATATATATATATAGATTTATATATATATGTGTCCGTGAACACGATAACTTGAGTAATTTTTATCCGATTTTGATGAAATTTGGTTTGAAGGTGTAAGGCGGGATAAACTTGAATGAGTTCGCGATCCAGCTAGATCGGACCATGGGAACAGGGTTTTATGGGGGGTTTTATTGGGTAAAAATTGGTTTTTCTCACTTTTTACCCTCAAAACACAAAATTTCCCAATTTTTCTCTGAACCTTCCTAAAGAGCTTAAAAAAACAAACAATTCAGTATATCAAAGTGTTTTTGTACGGTTATTGGTTACGGAGAAAACTAAAAAAATTGTAAATTTAAAATTCCCATGTTATTCTTATGGAGAATATTGTAAAATGTTGTAGTTTGCTTGTTTATGGATATATTTTGATCAAACTTGGCCAATTTATTTATTTTATAGTAAGCTATCAATATTTTACTAAAAACACACTACTTTATTAGTTTCCTTGTAGCAGCAAACCTAGGTACTCGTTAAACCTAATGTTATTTAAATAGATCAATTGAAAATCAATTCGGCCAAATGGAAATTCGCTTAGACGGCAGGTTTGCTGCGGCGGGGGTATTTTAAATATTTAGCTGCCATCCCGGGACTTGCGATAAAAATTAAAAACATTTTAAAAATAATAAAACTACAAATTTTTTTCTTTTTGTTACTTTTTACTATAATCGTTAATTTTAAAAAGACTGGGGATAACTAATCTTGTTTGAATTTTATCGTAGATCATTTTTGTAAATTAATTCTGCGCTAAGCTTGATAGTTATTCAGGGTGTCTACTACATTTTGGATAAAAAATTCATGGACAATTCCCGTACATTTAAGGACCTTTGTCGGTGTGATTACAGAATAATATTCCTGATTTGTCAAACTGTATTAATCTTGTTCTTCGTAGTTGTTCCAGAGAGAAAAGTAAATAATAATAGACAAGAATTAAATTTCAAAATAGAAACTTATTGAAGTAAACAAACATATACTTTAGGTACAGCTTTTATAGTGTAACAGAAAAACGCAATCATTGTCTCCTGCAAGAGCGACAAAATCCCAAATATCTCCATCGGTCACGGAAACATAATCACATAGCTTATCTGATGAAGGCGGATTAATTTGGCATTGTTCGCCCTGGCACAACGTTAGGTTCTCGACTACTTTTGGAAAAAAAATCTTTAATGCATAATGAATATATTGTAACTTGGTTCTAGGTACAAATCGGTATGGTAAGCGGCTACCAGTAAGCACAGAGTAAGATTATTGCCTTTTCATCTGCAAAGTTAATATCGACACATAGCAATCATTACTTTATCTTAGGCTCAATTACATTTTCTTAGTATATTTTACAGCACTTTCAAAGAATCAAAATACCCAGGCCTAGGCCTAATTATTTAGGAGGGCCTATATAAACTGAGAAACAAACTAGGAGGTTATACAGCAAAGTCACTACAATAAGATAATAAGATAGTTAATAATAGTTAATAAGATTTAGATTGCTTAAAGCATACAACTCAATAAATAAATATGGGAAATAAAAAACATTGAAACCTGACTGCCAACAATGTAAAAAGATACAGAAAATGCTATGACATCATTTGAAACCAAGTAGGCCTACGTAGTGATAAAAATTTAATGCAAACAACGATGCTTTTGGTTTTGTCAATTGAAAGATAAAATATCCATAAAAAAATGGTTTAATTTAGTAAAACCTAACCAAAAACTAACAATATAATTGGAATATCATCTGTACTGTGATAAACAAAACATTGCAATTTTTTCACTCTAAATTATTTTAAGAAATTTGTTAATTATCAGTTAGTTATTAGCTCTATAGTATATTTATTTTACTAAACATAATATTCCTAAATTTGAATCATGTAAATTACTTTATCTTTAAGAAGAATATGGATAAAAATGAAAGAAATATTTTATCCTAACCTATAAACAGAAGTAACCAAGAATGATTCCTGCACAATATTTTACAATCTTCAAGGTTGAAAAAGATGGAAACTGCTTATTTCGTGCTGTAAGTGTATTCTTATTTGGCAATCAGAATAGCTTTACTAAATTACGAAATGAAACTGTTAGATATTTAGATCAACACTGGGAATCAGCTAAAATGTTTATATTAGATGAATTTGGATCCTCAGAAAAAGATGAATATATAAAATTGATGGGAGAAAATGGCACTTTTGCAACGTCTGTGGAATGTTTTGCTTTGGCCCAACTATATCAAGTTAGTTTTCACATTTACCTACAACCCATACAACCACAAAAATGCACAAGAACAATGGCTATGAGACAACCTCCCATTGTAATTTCCTCTCAAAATGACAAACAGATATCAGTACCAGTGGTAAATTTATTATTGTCTGGTAATCCAACTTCAGGACACTTTGATATACTTTTAGCAAAATCCAAAGCATGGGCCATAAAAGAGGATAACGTTAATATCATAGAAGATTTGACAGATGATCTATATAGGTGTACTGAATGCAATACAAGTTTCAAAAATAATAATAGGCTCCAACAACACTTTAAGAAAAAACACTCATCAATAACAAACTATGATCCTAACAAGTCTTCTAATAGAAAATCATTTGACAAACATCCTCTTGATGTCTTAATAAAATCTTTTGGAAATGACCAACCACAAGCCCAAAATCATAAATCATCTGAATGGAATGATAGATGGGAAAAGATTATTTCACTGAAAAGGATGCAATATGAGTTACCAAATGGATCAATAGGAAACAACTTTATTCAAATACTTGCAGATGAAATATTACTGTTGGCAAAAGGAAAAGAGATATCTGAGAGAGTGATTTGTTTTATAGCAATTATCCTTCAAAGAGACAAAATGATTAAAAAAGCTAAGGATATAAGAAGATTAATTGAAAGAAGACTAGATGAATGGCAGAATAATCAATTTGACAAACTCATCAATGAGGCCATTCGATGTGATAAATCTTTAAAGAAAACAAAATATGATCTTGACTCTGACGAATATGAACAGTTAAAAGACTCTTATTTTAATAAATTAGTTCAAAAAGGTAAAATAAAGGAAGCCTCAAGACAGATAAATAAAAAGAATATAGGTGGTTTACTTAATCCAGAAGAAACTATTGATAATACCTCGTACACTGTTTATGATGTATTGAAAGAAAAACACCCAAATGCTATAATTCCTGACATTAATTTGCTTAAATTACCAGATGGCATGGACCAAATTCCAAAGCTTGAAAATGCAGAAATAACAGCAGAACATGTAGAAAAGATAGCAAGAAAACTTCATGGTAGTGGAGGTCCAGGAGGAAGTTCATCCGAAAATTGGACAGATTTCTTATTGCGTCATGGACAAAAGAGTACTTATTTAAGAACAGCCATAGCCACCTTGGCGATGAAATTAAATGGAGAAGTAGTACCATGGCACACTATAAGAGCTCTGATGGCAAATAGACTTATTGCAATTGACAAATGTCCAGGTGTGAGGCCCATTGGAATAGGAGAATGTCTCAGACGCATTCTGGCCAAATGCATTATTTTAGCTTTTGGCGATGATGCAAAACAAGCATTAGGTACAGATCAACTTTGTGGAGGTCTCAAATCTGGTATAGAGGGAGGAATACATTTCATGCGAAAGCAATATAGTGAACATAGTAATACCAACAAAGAATGGTGTATGATCCTGGTAGACGCAGATAATGCCTTCAACAAAATAAACAGAATTCATGCTTTATGGCAAGCAAGAGTCCAATGGCCAAGGGCTGCAAGATTCATTTATAATACTTACCAATGTAGCTCAGATTTAATTTTACAAGGAAGTAATCAAAGATTGTATAGTCAAGAAGGAGTTACCCAAGGAGATCCACTATCAATGATATTATACGGTCTGGCAACACTTCCATTAATACAAGAACTAAAAAGAATGCCAAACACATCTCAAGTTTGGTATGCAGATGACTCTTCTTGTCAAGGCTCCCTTGATGATGTTGTGGAATGGTGGGAAAAGCTCTCAAAATTAGGTCCAAAATATGGGTACTTTCCTCAAGTTAATAAAACAAAATTAATTTTTAATCATGATAATATTTCCAAACAATTTAAAAAGAAAATATCTGGTATGAAAATTTGTAAGGGTAGCCAATTTCTTGGTGGATATATAGGTTCTGAAGAGGAAAAAAATAAACACATTTCTGAAAAAATTGGTTTATGGACCCAAAACATTGACAATCTGGCAAATATTGCAAAGAAATATCCACAATCTGCCTACACTGTAGTGACTAAATCTTCACAAATGGAATGGACTTTTTTTCAAAGGGTAGTTGAAACTAAATCTGAAACGTATTTACCTATACAACAAGCAATTAGGACATCTTTTTTTCCAAATCTATTTTGTTCAGAAGTAAGCAATGAGGAATGTGAGATTCTACATTTACCAGT